TTCAATCTGCTCTGTTTTAATCTACAGGATGAAAAGATAGATCTGATTCATTTTGTTATTAATCTGATGGAAACGATGTATTTGATGGAATGCTTGTTTTCTATATCTTTTAGTTTTAAATTTTGCAATATTTATAGTTGTTATTATGGTTAATTGACGATAATCTTTTTAATATTGCCAATTCGAAGTATTTTTTGAAAATTCGAAAAAGAATTAATTTGACAGCAGATAATTTTTAAGTCCAAAACTTTCATACATTCAAAATTGAAAAATTGATAATAATTCGTAATCGGCGGATGATTCTGCATATACATGGAAATGTTAGAAGAGTGAGCGTGGTTGATTATTGCACCATCTATGGGAATAATGATCTGAAAATGGGATTTATACCGCGATGGATATACTCGTTTAAACTCACATTAAACAAGAATAATTATATTCCCACCAAATTCAAACGCAGTATTTATTAAATAATCAATCCCTTATCATTTATTCACATTTTTCTTATTAATAAAGGTGGAAGAAATTTCAGGACAGATTATATAAGATGATTCCCTTGCATCTATTGAAGAAACTAAAGAGAAGAGCTCTGGAGAGTGTTGTGTGTGTTGAGAAATTAAGTTATAAAGGCATATTAAACATGGAAGGATCCTTGAGCATCATTTATGAGTTGAAGAGAGTGGCATCTCCTACTCCTGAGAAAATACTTCCCATTTGAATATTCCGAAATTTGAATCATTCAAACTTGAATCTGTGTTACCAAGCATTTTCTGAAATGTTCTGTTTTAGTACAGCTTGATCATAACATACCTAATATGAAATTATACATACACCCATACATACACCTAAAATAAATATAATTGTGATATGAAATTGAAACATTCAGATTTCTGGGATATGAATTATTTATGATTATGACAACTGCGACATGGTGAATCTCAGCTTAGGGCAGAAATACTTATCAAATCTAGGCAGGCTCCACCTGTTTGCGAACGTTTTCTGAATTATGTTTGATAGTGAGAGGAAGCACAATTTTAAATGCCATTACTGATGATTTTATTGAAGCTGGTTCATTACCTCAAATTTATTTCTTTGTATTATAGATATAACTGTTCCCTAAATTGGTCATTCGCACCGTGAAATTAAACTAACTTCTTAAAAAATTATCTTCCTGAAAACTGTTTTAATGCATTTTGTTGTTCTAATGCGCTTCTTTTTCTTTTTTCAGTGGACTGTTTATTATAACTAAGATTGAAAAAAATCTTCAAGTTAAAATTATAAGTTTTGATGTTCTGCATAGTTTTTGGTTTTCGCCATTGATAAGTACTAGATACTGTCTCTCACTTCCAAGCATTTAAATGTCTAAACTTTATAAGTGGAATTAAATTTTAAAAATGAACTGACTTTAATGGAACGAAGTTGGTAATTATAGTATTAATTTTATACTGAGTAGGATCTGTTTTGAAAAACTCCAAAGTGTTTTACAACTTAAGCAAAAACTCTTTGACTGAACAATCAGTGGCTTGGTGATGCTGATCAAAATTATAAGTAGCTTGATATAATATTTTTAATAGCTTCTGATGTTTTTCGCCATTCAAATTATTGTTTCTGGGGAATCTGGCACAGGCAAAACAGAGTCACAGAAGTACATCTTACGATACCTGTGCGATAGCATGCCCTATTGAACAACTTTTATTAGAAAGTAATAGTTTGAAGTTAGTATTTCCACTTTTCTTGTTATATTTTTGAACAAAATTATAATTGAGTTGTTATGTTATAATTATGAAGTCATATTTTAAATGATAATATTTACAGCTAACCCGATATTGGACCCTACGCAACAATAATAGCAGTCGATTTGGGAAATTCGTCGAAATACATTTCAATCAAAAAGTAGTTCTCTTAATATACATATATATATATATATTTCAGACTCTGTCTGGACTGTCTTTTTTTAGATATTTGGTCATTTGGTATTTCATTTGTTTCATCAATCGTAATTCAACCAAGAAATCTTCTAAAATATGATAAAAATTTTTTGCCAAATTTAAAGTTATTTGATATTGATACATATTACTGAATGACATTGTTTTCTTCAGAACAGTGAACATTTCATTTTTCGAAAATATCCATTTTTTGAAAGTAACTTGGAAGTGTACAGGAGTTCTAAAAATCGAATTCGAATGTTTGTCACTTTAGAATTCAGTTTGTGGTGGTTTTATTTCACATTACTTGTTGGAATATGTCACCAACTAGAGGGTGCACGCAATTACCACATTTTTTATCAGTTACTAGCGGGTGCTAATGAACAGATGGCTAGAAGTCTCCAGCTTAATGCCAATAAGAGTTTATAAAACTGCTATCAAAGTGATCTATATAAATATAATTAAGAACTTGAATTATTGTAATATATATCTATTCACTTCGAAATCCTAGAAACTAATTCTTTTTTTATTTAAGGACAGATTGAAAGTTTTTTGAAGATTTGTTCTTTAATTTAAGTCCTTTCCTAGTATCTCAAACATGGATGTACCCAGTTCTTCAAAGAAGGTGGGTACATGGATGCACCCACCTTCTTTAGTTTCACTGAGTTCATAATTTTTTAATGTTATTTTCGATCATCACGGATTTACCACTGTGATAAAGAATTGGACTTTGGGATACATGGATGATATCCACTGCCCACCAACAATATATATAATTCTTTTAAAAAAGAAGAAAAAGATAATTGACAAATGCGCTCTTAAATCCATTTGAAATGTATCATTTTTATTTTTAGTGTAGGAGCATAAAGAAAAAATTCGTCCGAATTAGCATATTTTGAAATTATTTTGAGAAAGGAATTTAAAAATATGTAAAATTTGCCGCTACAATAAAATTGTTATTGTTCACAATATTCATTTAAAATTTTGTACTTTCTGTCCACACATTATAAATTTTGGGTTAGAAGCAGCAGTTACTGAAAATTATTAAGTAATTATAAAATTAAAAAAAAAAAATTAACTTTTGTACACAGTCAACTTGAGAACTATCAAAAGTTTCAAAGTAAAATAGTTCAATAACATTAAACTAATATTTTTAACTCTCTCTTTATGAGAAAGTTAACAATCCATTCATTAAATTGATTTTGGCTTGTCCTTCACGTGGCGCATGCTCCGAAAGTGTCTTACCCATTTACATATTTTCCCATACACTGCTTGTCGTTCCATCAGTCCATGTTCGAAATTCCGATGCTTCTCCAGGTCAGTTCGCAACCGATCACCAGATGACGTCCAAACATGATATTAATCATTATCAAAAAATCTGAGCTTGATTAATAACAAGAAAAAATGCTTCTCCGCACAATCCAAATCTGCTTTACAAATCTGACTTCACATAGTTACTGACTAATAATCCATGAAATTGTGACTGAAATGCCTTATGCGTGTTATTTTCTGCATATAATGTGACATTCACAGAACAATGTTGTAAAAGCAGATTTAGAATTTCTTTCTTACCCCTCTTTCCCCTCTTTCCTTGTAAAACAAAGTAGCTTCTTTTCTTGATGGTTCAGATCGTTGACTTCTTTGTCCTCGATACTGGTAGAATCTCGACTTTATACTGGTTCCGTTCTGTGTACGTGTACTGTGGGAATCTTCGTGAAACACTTTATTATTCAAACCTCAAATTTGGGTAATTAAACCTTAGATTAACAGTAAATATTACACAACATTACAATAATGAATTGATAGATAACACACAAATGTAACTTAATTATAAAACATTTAAAGATACAAGAAAGCTAGACACCCCGCAACCGAGCCATACCAAACAAGGAACTATAATGAATGGCTTTGTAAGGGAGAAAATTGGGAGGGATTTTATGGGTGTTAAGGTTACGAAGTGGATTAAAATCATTTAAAACAATAGCCTTTGTTCATTAGATTATAGCTCCGCTATTGTGGCGACATGTATGTTATGTGCATCTAGGCACTCTCAAATATACGAGAAATACGTATAAACTGTTTGTATGAATACTTAAAAAGCATTTACATGAAGAGAATATACTTGTAATATAGTTTTCGAATTTTTCAGTGGTTTTCCGGAAAATTTTTTTTTTTTTCAATGGAAACTGCAAAAAACTTAAGAGTAAGACGTCCTGAATAATTGAATCACTGCCCGACAAATAAGTGATTGTAAATATCACTGGTCCTAAAGCGATATCACCCACTGGGGTGACGAATTTCACTTGTCCGTGGTCACTGTTAATGTTGTCTACCAAACGACATTTTTTATCTACCACATTTGAAGTTTTACCAGCAAATATCGGTAATACAAATAACTTCAATGCTGGATGAGAAAAAAAACGGCTTAAATCTCATCATAAAATAAAACATAAAAAGAAAAAACAAATTAGAATTTTTGAGGAGAGAGAGAGAGAATTTTAAGGAAAACTAAAAAAATTTCGAATGAAATTTTAAAAAATAAAAATAAGGAAAAAAAAAGAATACTCGGAATGTGTTGGTGTTGATACTTCTTCCGATTTTACTTTTGCTGTTTTCCGTAATAGCTTTTTGTTGATAACTGAAACAAAAAAAAAAAAAAAAAAAAAAACGGAAATTATATCATAAATATCTGTAACTGTAGTAAATTGTGGGATTTACTACAATTAAATCATATAATAATTATAGCAACAATTACATAATAACGAGTCATAACAATATTGGCTTTTAACAAAGATAATTGATGATATTAAGGATAGTGAATGTTATTATTATTATGTAAACCACATAAATTTTGATAACAATATGTTTTACCCATTATGGTACATCCATGCTTGAGATACAAAGAATTAAAAATTATGGTACGCACAGAAGTAATGGAAGAATGGATACCTAAAATGCGCTCTAAATATATGTGAAATTCAAACACTAATTACCATAGTGAGCACTTTGATATTGGGTTCATTGCTGAATTTGGTGGACACTTGAAGGCTTCTGCGAAACCATTTTTAAAAAATTATGGTACGGTTCAAAGTATTCACGTTGGCATCGAAAGTAATCATTCCAGGTTGAATCCCTGAAATTATCACCTGTTCAGATGAAATTAATAGCAGATAAGAACCTTGCACAGAATTTGAGAAATTGTCGATACAGATAAGATAACGTCGTACCCAGCTTCCAGGCTCACTACAGCAAATAAAATAGTGAAAGACCGTCGAGCGAAAGAGGTAAGGCATTCTTTAAAACGAATCAGAATCTTCTGTAAATGTTAAATACAGAAGAACAGTGAATGTTGTTGTCTTAATGTTTTGAAAAAAACGATTTCTCTTTTACTTTTAATATCAGGTGTTATTTTTACAACCATGCATGCATGAAATAAATGAGTAAAGAAGTGAGATGAAGCTGTATGATTTATTAAAATATGTTCGATAAGAAGCGCAATGACGAATTAACTTCTATCCACCAAACTTTCTTATCACATTCAAAATTTTTTACATGTTGTGTTTCTTGATTAGTCGAAATATTTTCTGTTTTGGAACATTATTCATTATTAATTACTTCATTTCATTTTTCATCAACTTAATACATTTTCTGTGCTCTGTAATTTGTTCCTATTTAGGATGCAGATTTACACGATGAGATATTGGATGACTATGTTGACTTTCAAAGGTTGCTTAATGGACTTTCTAGCATTGATTTTGATAAGAACTGAATACTATATTTGATGTTATTGCCGCTATCTTGCACCTCGGTAACATACACTTCATTGAGAATGTCGAAGATACAAAAGGTACAACTGTGAGCGTATTTCCTTGGGCTAAGATCTTGTTTTGTTCCGGATTGGAAGATTATAAACATACAAATTTCGACAATTATAAGTAATCTTGGAATTCAAGCCATATCACCGGATTATTCTAATGCATAAATCAGTACTTTTCTAAAAGCAGTACCTTTACCATTTTTCTGACAGGTGGATGTCTGATTAAACCGTCTAGCAAAGTAAGTTTCGCAGCATCACTTGAAAATGCAGCTTCGTTATTCGGTTTAGAAGATTATGAACTGAAAAATGGCCTCACAACACGAGTCGTGCAACTTGCGAAAGGAGGTGTCAGAGGTACCAACATCAGATTGGTTACTTATACCCTTCGTATGTAACAGAAATAGATGTAAACGCTAGATAAATCCTGACTATTAATAACTATATTAAATATATTCTAGGATACCGTTAAATCACATGATGCATCAGCAGCTCGCGATGCGCTTGCAAAAGAAAAAAAAAAAAAGAAAAGTAAAATTTGAAATTTTATCATTTTTATTGTACATTTGCAAAATTTTTACTTACAAATAATTAACAAATAGCTATTGCTTATTTGTAATGAAAATTAAAAACGAAAAAAAAAATTGAATTTTGAAAATTTGTCGTTTTTTTTGAGTTGCAGTTTATATTGCAGTGCTTTTAAATGCATTTGTAGACAATTACTGTTTTAATAATTTGCTGAAAAAATGCAAAAATAAATTTAAAATTTTTCATCCTGAAATTAAAATATTAATTGAAATATCGCTGATATTATTATCGTACTGAATTTAGCTTATGCAAATGTATTATGCTTTGCATTTGTTAATATTTGTGATATAGCGAAAATTCAGATAATATTTGCTTGTAGTGATAACGACCGATGAATATTAGCTGCAATTAATTAATAATTTTAGCACTTGTCTTAATTGAATACAAAAATGTTACTAACAATGATATGATAGTGACAACAAATATGTAATAAATGACAATTATTAAGAATAATGATATTAGTTCAAAAATAAGCATTAATGACAAGTAAGATAGTGATAATAATTATTTATAAAAATAATGATTATGAAAATCACTGCAGCATTCAGTAATAGTAATAATACTATTAATGATAAAATATTGATAATAATGGTCTAGTGATAATAACAATAATATAATGTTTCAGGATCATATGTAAATTCTCATAGTCAAAGAATGATAAATGATAAGAGGAATGGCAGCAGTTATCATAATTTAAAAAAATTTGAATAAAAATTAACTAAATTATCCAAAACAATTAGTTAATTATATAATTAATAAAATAATAATTGTTAAGTAAACTTAAAGAAAAATGTAAACAATTTAAAGTAATATTTCAACAGCTGTTAATTAGCCGATAATATCTTTTGGAATTGAACGTACAAAAACATTTTTAATATGCTTTCGCTTTTTTTTTTCAAAATGATAAGAAGTTATTTCTTTCATTTTTTTTCTCCTTTACTCTCTTCGTTTTCTTTTTTCTTTTTTTCTTTTTTGTTTTGTCTTGTTAAAAATAAAATTTAAATGAAATGATTAATCATTTATTAGATGTTAATTCGGTACTTGATATCATTTATAATGATTTAATCATGTATGATAATATAATGATCTTAATCAATTTATTGATTTTTATAACAATTGTCATTTAACAAACAATTTGCAGCAAGTTGAAGGTAATAATTCTTTAAAAATTTTCCCAAATAAGACCACATGAAAAAAATATCAATTTAAGTGCAAATTCTTTGCTTAATTTTAAAATAAAAAAAAAAGAAAATAATAAAATGATTAGATTGGAAAAGATACAAGAAATTAAATTAAATAATGCTTAATTAATTTAAACATTTTCTAAACTAACTTTTTAATAATTAAATTATTGCAGAAAAAAGCTATTTGTTATTAATTTATCCTTTTCAAAGAGATTTATGCTTTTGAGAAAGAAAAAATTTTTTTTCTTTTTCTTAATTTCAAACAACAAAATTAATTAAAAAAAGAAAAATATTATTTTTAACTCATTTTTGTTTTGATCTTACTTTTTGAAAATTCTTTTGTTTATTAAAAAATTTAAAATAATATTAAAACAAAAAATTTGATGCTAAAAGCAAAATTTTTAACGTCATTTTTGACACATAATTTTATTTTACATTTAATCAAATTTTATATACTTATTATTATTGAATAACGAATTATGATTTAGAATTGAATTAACAAATTAAATGAATTAAATTAACAAAATTAGCATTACAATTTACAATTTTACAAAACATAAAATTCTACAGCAAAAATATTAAATTGCAATTGAATTACTGAATGAAATTATATTTTATTTAATTAAACTACATATTAAACTTACAATCGTACAAATAACAGTCTTTTCAGAATTAAAGTTAACATAATATTTCATCACATATCGTAAAGTAACTAAAAGTAATATTTTAATTTGAAGTGATAAAGCCAAAATATTTGCGCCCAAAATTCATTATTATAATTGAATTTTTAATCTTTTTCCATTAACAATTTTGCTCTTAGTTTTTTTTTTTTAATTTTTCTCAAATTAAATATTATTTTTTATTATAATTTAACTTCCATCTTAAATTATATGCAAAGATTTTTGTCAAATTATTAAAAGGAATTAAAAATTTATTATTTAAATCTGAAATATTGATCAATTCAAATCAAAAAAAAAAAATTTGCTTAAATCTCTTATTCAAATATACCAAAATTTATAGCAGAATTTTTATTTTAACATTTAAATTTTTAAAATTGACTGATAATATTAGGATAAAGTGATGATAAAAATAAGTAATACTATGCATATATGCAAATATTTTATTGCGTATATCATAAAAAATGCATTTTTTTTTTCAATTGGAAATTTCAATTAAAAGCAATTTTAATTTGCCAATTTTTAATTTAATAAAACTGTTAACATAAAATTTCAGTTTGAATTATCACTTGCATCTGTTATTTGAGAACTACTCGTTTCTTGAGATTCTGAAGATTCTATTTCATACGTCCAATTTTGCGTAGTTTCTGAATTTGTATTCGTATTGCAAAGTAATTTAGTTGGATCAGGCCAAGCTTTCAGTAGTACAACACGTAAAGCGCTACGTGAAACTGATAAATCACAAATTCGTTCCCATTTTTTACCATCAAAACGTACCACTGTTTTAGTCACCGTTCTATTATAATCACCAATAGCATAAAAATAATTTCCCATTCTACACCCTGCAAAATTTGATTTAAAAAAAATTGTTTAGTAACAAAAAATAATTTAATTGAATAATTTATGTTATAAATAAATAAATCTTAATAAAAAATTAAACAAAAATAACTCAATTTTTTTTACTTTAATTTACAATCAGATCAATAATATTTTAAAACAAAAATTTCGAAGCATAAAAGTTTTAAAAAACTCTAATATAATCTTTTATTACAACAAAATTTTAAATGTAACTTGAATTATCCATGTTTTTTTTTTTTTTTTTTTTAAATAACAAATCAACAAAATTTTTTATTTATTGTTAAGCAAAAATGGCTAATGCTTTACTAGCAGTTATAGTTTTTGTAAAAGTTTAGAGATAATTTTTGGAATATTTCAAAAAAGTTTAAACCTTGGCATTGGGATTGATTCAACGTTTACAGTATGGGCGCTTTCAATTCGTAGGATTTCTGCGCTGCTTGATCGATTTATACCATCGTATCCACCAGCGATTAGTATAAAATCTGTACGTGCTGCACATGCTAGGCCTAAAAAGTATTTGAAATTTTATTATTATACTTAAAATAATAATTTTCACACTTAATTCAACAGTTAATTTTAAACTTTAACTTTTTTTTTTTGTTTACACAAGATTTATAAATTTTGTTTACAGTTCTTGATTAATAATTAACTTAACCATACATCAGCTCAAATATGTTGTTAATTAAAATGTGTAGGAAAAGAATGCTGAAACGTTTTTCAAATTTTTCTTTGCATTAAAATTTTCAGCCAGTAAGTAAGTAAATATGAATAGAAAGAAGAAGATTTTTAGTGTATTCTTACGATGTTAATTTAAACAATTTGTAATAATTTAATTTAAATTGATAAATTTTATTTCATAAAAATAAACTTTTCATTCAATGAATTATTTACCGGATCTTAGTGAGCTCATATCTGAACTTCAGTACAAATATCATTTCCAGCTTATACATTTCGACAGTTTGTAATACCATTTCACCGGTATAACCACCAGCTACGTACATTTTACCACCCATACTGCTGCATCTGATCGTCGTTGTGTCATATTTCTTGAATTAAATTTAAGAAATGATAGTAGCAATCATTAATATTTCAATTGTTTTTAAAATTTTTTAACCTTAATTTAGGATATTTCAACAAATTCTTTTATTAAATTATACTGATAAAAAAAAAAAAAGAAAAGAAAAACAAATTAATTGATAAGAAAAAAATAATCGAATTTTTGTCCATTGATTTTTGTTGATATCATACATTTCAGCAGTTCGAAGTCTCGATGTGCCATCTGAACCACCAGCAACAATAATTGTGCCATTAATTTCACATGCTGATATATAACATCTACAAAAATTTCATCCAATTTTTTTCTTTTTAAATAATATATATATGTACTTTTTTTTTCTATCAAATATATATTAAAATAGTATGTATTAAAAAAAATATATTTTCTTATTTTTTATTCATAATAATTTTTTAGGATTTATTGATTTGTTTACAAAAAAAGGATTTATAATATGTAATTATAAATCAAATTGAATGAAGATGAAAAAAAAAAAAAAAAACGGGAAATCCGTTGAAATAAAGCAACCAAATAAGTAATTAACTATTTAAATATTTCAATTGTGTTGTTTTATTACAGCAATATTATAATTATTTATCAACCTAAAATATAATTTTAAATGTTTGTTATTTTTGCCAAATTGCTTTATCCTTTTTTTTAATGATTATATTAAATCTTATCATATTTATATCATAATATATGATAAATTTTGTCATTTTAGTAGTTATACTAAAAAGTTTACCTTTCATAATTCATTGAGTTAACTCAGACCATTCTTTTATTTCACTATTATAACAACGTGTGGTATTAAAATATTGTGTTCCTTCAAAACCACCAACAACATATAATTTCTAAAGTTAACATTTTAAAATTTATAGGTTTAAATAATAAACAAATTCTATATTATTTGAATATGTAATGATAAAACATACTTAATAAATGTGATAAAACCCACTTAATAAAAACAGAATTTTATTTAAAAAAAAATCGCAATGAAATTATTTTCTTCAATAAATCTTTCCTCTATTAAACAAAATAACCAAATAAATATTAAATATTTAATAGTAAAATTTTTACATTATTGATAACAATACATTCATGATAAGCTATTTGACGTTTATCTTCAAATGTCTTTGCACGTTGCCATTTATTATTTAATACTTCTGCGACATTTGTTGGCCCTCTTTTCTCCCATCCTGCAATTGCTGATAATAAATCACGTGGAATTCCCGTTTCCGTATTCACTGATCAAATCATATCTTTTTGATCATCGATAATATTTATTTTAAGACGTGTAAGACCTTTTTTACTTTTATTCTTCTGAAAAATTTCCATAATGGTTTACTTTATCTTCTTTTTTTTTCTGGTTATTAATTTAATATTAACAAATTTTTGTTAATGTCTTTTCTGTTTTATTGCCTCTTTTTCTTAATATTCAATATTTGTCCTTTTTAATATTGATTTTTAATTTTTTTAATATTTAATATTAAATTGTCTTTTTAATCAATATTTTTTAATATTGGTAATATATTTATATTAAATGCTGAAGTAAATGTTCAATTTAAATTTGTTTCTTTTTTTAAGTTTATATTCATAAACTAATGGAATATTTTGGATGAATTTTAACAGATATTAGTGATACATTTAATAAATATACATTTACAAATATTTCATATCAATGATGCCTTGTTAAAGAACAGAAATTTTTATGAAAAATCTAGAAAACCATAAAATTTTATTCCTTAAACTCATCGCTATATTTAATTAGAACTTGATTTAAATTTTGCTACAGAGCAGAAATACTTACATCAATCATTAAAGCTCTCATTTAATCATTTTAATTATAATTTATAAATTATGATAAAATGAAAGAAGATTTCTTCGCAAACAGTAATTATTTACCTTTTCCTACACATTTAACTGAACAAAAACTACTGGTACTAATAGTCATAATAATAGTAATAGCATGAAAAAATATATAAGTTCAAAATCATAATTTAAATTGATATAGAAATAAGAGAAAATTTTGTTAAATCTGTTCATCATTTAACAAATTATAACGAATGCACTTCAATAGTTGACGACAGTATGGCTGCGTTTTTACGATCTATCAAAATCCATCATTTAAGAAGAATCCAAACATCCATCTAACACACATATAGAAATTTTTTTTCTTATTTAAAAAAATTAGAATTTAAAAATTTAGCAAAAATTTGTGCTTTATCAATAAGCACATAATATTTTTTACGTATTTAAAATGTGTAACACTCAATTGGTATACCTCATCATTTACTTTCAATAAATCAGCATTCAAAATTTCAAATAAATCATTACATTCAAGACGAAAATAATCAGATTGTAACCATTGTTTACAGATGAATTTACAATATACAACACATATTCAAAAGTCTGTAATAAAAGATAGCAATAATAACTTTTTTGTTCCTTATTTTTTAATAAAGAAAAGGATGGATTATTTTTTCTTGTTTTTTTGTTTCCCATTTTTTTCAAAAATCTTCACTTTAAATAAGTAAAAAATTATGTTTAAACTTTTTTTATTTGTTCAAATAAATATTTGCACACATTCGCAAACACCAATATAATTTTCTTCATTGATACCAGCAACAAAATTTTGCACAACACATCGTTTTATGCTGTCTAATTCCCAATTATTTGCCTAAAATTTATATTTTGGAAAATTTCACAAGTTTTACAACAAAAAAAGTGGCATAAAATTCAAAAAAAAAGAGATATCAGTCAGATTTTGGTTTATTTATAACTGCTTCTTTTTAAAGTGCTGTAAGAGATAATTGTTAGATAATATTATCAGTCTTAGCACAGAAATATTTCACATAATTTCTCAATGGTAATTAGTAAATATTTTTGTATTTGAGTTGTTTAATTTTGAATTATTGAATTTGCTTTTATATGAACAAATAATGTGTCAACAACATTATTTGATGACCAAGATTGTAATTATGCTTTTTCACTTCGCTTACATTGAAATGACTAAAGTGTAGTTTTTCATCATGGAAAAATTTTGTATTTGTTTTTAAATATTACTAACAAACTTATTGATAATACCAATCTTTTAATTAAATTTACAAATGGGTAATAAAAAAATAATAGCATTCATTATAAGAGAAATGCTATAAGGCATACCTCTTTATGAATTTGTCCCAATTGAAGCCAATCTTTTACATTAATATTTTCATATTTCAAAGCGTAAAATATTTCTTTTATCTAAAAGTATAGTAAATTAATTTTATTTTCACTCTAAATTTCTTGAGCTTTTTGAAAAGCAAAAGAATTATTTACTTAAAATTTATTGTGAAAATGCTACATTATGTAAATATATACACTAAAAAAAGTAATGAAAATTTCAAAAAGAAAAATAAAAACAAATTTACAATATCAATTGAAACTGATGTATGTATGGTATATTGTTGGGTAGTTTCATTGAAAAACATAAATGGAATGAGATAAGGACAACGATGTTCAACAAATCGGCTATTTAATCGATATCTAAAATAAGTAGAAATTACCGTATTTTTTAATAATACAGTACTGAGGATTATTGAGGTACTGTAAATAATACAGCAACTGCAAATTATCAGAATAATACTTAATTGGACTTTAATAAATAGTAACATTGTAAATAATCACAGACAACATTTGTATTTGTGTCATGAATGAATAACAAATGTTGTAGATTACAATAAACGCTATTTATCATTAATAAATGGTAGTGCTGTAAACTACCACAAGAGGAAATGTATCAATCGCTTTAACACATTAACGAAAAACAATACAGTAAAATATTGACAAATAATATAGAGTAGTATATTCACTACTAGCGATAATGAAGAAGTAATACCAAATTTATTAGTTATTTAAATAACAATAAAAGTAATAAAAACTTTCTATTCCACTACAATGAATTAAATATATAAATATTTCTTCTCCTCTTCCCTTACTTTTATTAATATAATGTCTTCTTACCGATAATTATCATCAGTAATGATAACAATCGCCATCACAAATATTATCTATTTCCATGTTACGGAATTCATTACCGTATGACTTGAGCGCTATCGCAATCCTTGTCAACCGTCATATAAGTCAACAGAACACAATGATTACCGCTTTCAAGAAAAAGAAAATAAAACTTATCACCTTTTGAACACTTTTAGATATGTCGTTTTTGTAACAAATTAGATTTATGTAAATTTAAAATCAAGTACTTCTAATTATGGTGCTTCTGAATTGCTAATACACAAATATAATCTTGTCTCTTATAGTAAGTCTATGTTATTTCCATGATACTATTTTCAAATATGTCCTATAGCAAATTTATGAATTTTCTATGATTTTTATCTTAACTGTACGGTATTTTATGAAATAAACCCACCTCCTACGGTATTTTGTGAAATATACCTGTCTTCTACAGTATTATACTTTTCGATATACATTTCACGCGTAATTGTTTTAGAATGCAAATAACAGTAAACATTTGTAAATGATACTGAAATGGATGAAATCAGCGCTAATTGTGGATGATATGTAAGCAAACAGAATATATTGTACACGAGATGTATGTTTGTGACAGGGAATGGCTAATGCAGATCGGATTTTTTAAGACATAAAATGTGATGCAGTATAGATATATGTTTGAAGTATTTCAGCATTTCAAAATTTGTAAGTGTAAAAATGCTACAATTTTTAACTTTGCTTGTCATTTACGTAATCATAATGGAACTGATCTGCACTACTTCTGACAAAAGCGTCAAATGACTCAGATGGCTTAAATGTAATGATAAATGATGATAGCACCTGTATATTTTAACAGATGTAACTTTACAAAAATCAGGCTTTTTTTTTCTAATTTTTATGATCGAACATTAAACATTTCAGCCAATAGTTATTACTGAAAATGAATTCATTTGTATTTCATAAATATAATTATATTGAAAATGATTTTTTTTGTTTTTACCTTTTCCAATCATTTTTTTAATTTTCCTTTTCCTTATTTTTCAAAACTTTTCCTAATCATTTATTTATTTAAATAACAAAAAAGAAACAACACTGAAAAAAATATTGAAGGCATTTAAAAAATTGTTTATTAAATTTGAAAAGGAATTAAGAAAAATGTTTATTAAAAAAATATTGTGTATTAATTTTGCAAACTTTATCATACTTAAAATCAATGATTAATGGTCGGTAATTATTAAAAGTTTCTTTCTTCTCATCACAAAATTCTTATCATAACAGTACTATCAAATTGTTAAATAATATAACTCATTTCAAGCATTTTTTTTTTTTTTTTTGCTTCGATTTAATGAATTGCTTATTACACAAATTCCTTTAAAAGGAATCGATAATTTGTCTTTTGTTTCTGGTTTTTATAAAAATGAATTTAACAAAATAAAAAAAAAGCAATAACATCAACTTTAATTAAATTTTTAAAGATTTAGAAAAACAAAAGTAACATTTGATAAAGCTATTCCTATACATCAGCTATATAGGTAGATGGATCTTTATTATTTAAAATCACTGAACAAGATGAAATGACTCGTCCGATCCGATTTTTTGCAATAGCTATATACTTACCTTTATCATCAACTATACAATTACTGATTTGTAATACCTACCAATCATTTTTTCGATCAATATCTATAAATAAACGTTTTTTACAAATCACAAACAAGATTAGTTTTTGCAATATTTTATTTATGAATTTATTATGCAAATCATTAAAGCAAGTTATAATTTCCTAATAGAAAACAACAAAAATTTCATGCAAAGAATGTATATGCAAGATTTTATTGCTTTCAAATTTCGATTGAATTATTAAATTTAAGCTTCCTTTATCACGCGGTTTATCTTTCTCCAATAGAATTATATTTTAATCTTGAACAATTTTATGAAAGTTATAAGCGATTTCCAAATTAATTAACGTCTTTATGAAACAATAATCAAAAATGATATAAAATTGAAATGATCACATTTACCGTTTCATACTTTCAATGTATCTGTATAATTTAAAAATAGCTTCTTAAAAAAAAGCTTACTTATTCGTTGATTGCTTGTAATGCGACGATTGCGAAAATGAAAGGTAACATAAGGTATTGGATAGCCTGACACCTGACATGCTAACTGTAGACAACCGTAAATTTCATCATATTTCAAATTTTGAAAAAATTTTGGTTCAATTCCAGCTAAATCATCATCTGCAAAAAAAAAAAAAAAATGAAAGAAAGAAATAAGGTAAATTGAATTATTTAATAATAATTAACTAAATATAATCATTCATTTTTCTATCCCTTTGATTTATTGTAATAAAATTTAATAATTTTATACATACCACTGACATGCAATACACTAATATCAGAAGCAATTGAATTTGTTGCTTCTACACCGCATATAATATCGCTCGAATCTGATATATCACAGTCATATATTTCCAAACAACAATCGAAACCTTTGCGCCAATATCGATATCGTCCACCATTTGTTATTACTTTTGTACCAATATACCAGAAAACATTCAAATCAAGATTATCTGTAATGCTTTTTCTCATTTCAACTATATTTTCATTATTTCACACAAAAAAAAGTATTAAAAAATTTTTATTTGTCTTTTTTTTCTTTATGTTTCTTAATATAAAAAATTTTAATTGTTTCTATGTTTTCACATTTTTTTTTAACTTTCAAAAAATTAAAAAAAGAAACAAGTTATTGCTTTTTATGTTTTCATCTTGAAATATTACTTTAATTACTTTAATTAGAAACATTACTTTAACATTCTGGAATTGTATATTGGACTGTAGTGCAAAAGAAAAAGATTTACTTTGAGTAATATTGAATAGTTTAAATTTCGTCAGCTTACCAATATGAAAAAGTATGTTGGCAGAAGTAAAAGAAGAAATTAATAATAGCAAAATTTGATTTGCTATTAAATCTAATAATTTACCAATTAATCGTTAAGGTTTTGTTGTAATTAGCTTAATATTATATGTCTAATAATCAATTATTTAAGAATTAATATCTTTTATTATTTCCAATCTTTCAATAATAATACAATCGTTTGTAAACAGTTGTTTAGAAACTTACCAGAAATAATTTTACCAAATAATATGATTTCACCGTTACGTATATTCCATTTTTTTTAGCATATTCACTGATAAACTATTAATAAATGGACTTTTTGACTCCTACAAAAGCAAGCTAATAACAATAAAAAATGCATGAAATTGTCTTAAAAGATAATCATAAAGACACTGTACGAAATATTTTTAATTTCTTTAAATAAAAGCTTCGAACTTTAAATAAAAATTTTTTTTGAAGAAAAAAGCACTGTCCTAAAATTATTGTAAACGATGAGTCATTTCATTGAAATTTTTGCTTTGCAATCCTTTTTTCGCAATCTAAGTTAATTTTAAGCATTAATTTTACTCTTTATTGAAAGATTACTGATTGATCTTAATAAATTTGAAATAAAAGCAATTTGTAAATTTTATTACTTTTACATATAAAAGTTTTTTTATGCAAAATTTTTGTCTTTTTTCATTTTTACTATTCAAATGACATTAAAAAACAAAATAAAATAGAAAATAAAGCAAATTAGAAAATTTTGTGCTTACTTACGTATGTAATGCAATATGTTTAAAATCAAGTAGCCAATTCATTGTGTACTGAAATTTTCAATCAGTAATTAATTATCTAATGCGTCTATTCTAATTATTTTTTTAGTGCTTTATTTGAAAAAAACAAAACAAAAATTTGTACACTGCTTTTAAATGTTGATTTATACAAATTTCTAGTAATTTTTCCAATTTTTGTTTCAAATAATGATGAATTCATTTGTTTTGATATCATTTCCATGGCTGTTGCTTGCTTTGAAATCTATAAATTGAGAGATCAGTACGAGAAATAATAAAGTGTTAATTAACAAATTAATTCAAATCTTGAATAATTTTAATTTTGACCATAAGGCATTTTCTATCAATTGTTATGATACAATGATGCAATAAATGTTATAACTTTATATAACATTAATATTTATATAATACTAATACTAAAAATAAATTTATATAAAGTAAGGAGTAATAAAATTTAAATAATTGAATAAGAAATATTAAAATTTAAATATTTGAGCAATGATTTATTGCATTTTACCATAACGGAAATGACGGCATTTGAGAGAAGCAAGAAATAATCGTCGCCGCGATCGTTTTTTAGGATACATCGTACGATGCAATTCTGATTTGCATTCAACTGAAAGAAATTATTAATTTAATTTTTCTTTTTTTTTGTAATTAAGACAGTCATTTTTTCTTTTTGAGAAAATATAATTTTATTTGTAAAAAGAAAAAAAAATCAGAATAATTGAATATATGAATGAGTATTATGAATTCAATGCTACAACAATTTGCGTGCATGATGCATATGCATATACTTACACGTGCATTCACATGAAAAAAGAAATATAAATTAATTTAGCAAATAATTCTAATTTATGTAAAAAGAGTAATATAATTATATTTAATAAATAAATTTAATTACATTAAACTTATCCGATTGTAAATTGTTAAACATATGAAAATATTTATAATACTTAAAATACTTTTTATTCGAAATTATTTTGAAAATTTTAAAAAGTTAGAAGGGAGCAAAAATAAAATGAAAAAATTTCATTTTTGTTAGCAATTATTAAAATAAAAAAATAGCAAATCATTTTCATATAGCCAAATATAGCCAGCACTGTTACTCGCCAATTACTAACACTGAGTCTGCAGCTAAATGTTGGCCAATTATTACTTTAATTAATCATAAAGAAATGTTAAGGATTAATAAACTTCATACAATTTCAACATGACTAACTACTATTACTAAGTTTATGATTTAAACATAATTTAATTGAATTAATAACAATTGTTTAAATTATTAAATGGCATAAAAAATATTGAAAAAAGAATTTTTATTTTAAGAAAAGTATTGCATGAAATTTGACGATCATAAAATTGTATTAATAGCTAAACTAATTGCAGTAATTTAATAAATCATAAAGAAATGTTAGTAAATTTTATAAAATAAACATATTACTGAAAATAGAAAAAAAAGAATAAAATTTAAACAATAAAAGTAACTTAAAATTAAATATATGATATTATGAAAAAAATGATCTTTCGTTATTTCTATTCCATCCAGAAATTTCTATAGATTTAGAATTCTTTTATTTATTACATATTATTTACTGCTTTTTAAAGTTTATGTCTAGAGGAAAAAAAAATTTTGTTAATTGATGAATGAAAATTTTCATAAGGTTATAAAATTGCATTTTCATTATTTACAAAAACAGTAAGAAAAGATTGTAAATCGTTTTTTCCATAAAATCATTTGATTTTCTTTTTTTCTTTCGAAAAAACCTTGAATGAATTTCTTTTTAAATTAATTAGTTACATTTGAAAAATGATGAAATTTTAATAGCAGTATTTCTCTACGAAATTAATTGTAACTATTTAAAATGAAAATAAAATTAAGATCGAAATACCAAGAATGTTGTTAAAATGCTTTATGATTATCTGTTAGTTGTAATATACAAGAAAAAAGCTTAAAATTGTCAATTTACTTTATTTAATCTAAAACTTTTTTAAATAATTGTCCTCAAAAAAGAAAAATGCTTTGTTCATTTTGTTTATTTACTTATTATTTATACTAATTTTAAAATGATATCAGTTAATGCTTGAAATAATTTTTAAAACTATCAATTACTCAAATTGTATTGAAAAATACATTACTGATTGATTTAAAAAACAAAAATGAAATTTTTACAACATTCATATGCAAATTTCAAAAAATTGTAAAATTTGCATATGTAAAAAAAAATGCAAATTTATTTGCTAAGAAAAAAAACTAATTTATTTGATTTGAATTATTGCAACGGATCAATTGCATGCTTCTATCAGATCGCAAGAAGGAGTGCAGCAGTTACAGCAGCGACTTGCGTTGGATGCTATATGGGTTGTACCAGGAGATATTCACAAACAGTATTTGCACGTTTTAATTAATTTAATTAATCATAATTAACTACTTAAAAAAGCATATTTATATATAAGCATTAAAAAAACAGAAAAATGTGAAAGGAAAAACATATTGAGATTATTTCAGAGCATTTTTATGCCTACATTAAATTATTGAGAAATTTCAATGTGTTATTATGATACAAAAAAAAAAAAAAAAAAAAGGAATTGATGAAAAAAAAAGTTTAAACCTAAAAAAATAAATTTTGCTAAAAAATAAATAATTTCAAAGTTTTTCTTGACTATATTTAACAATTTTCTGTTTCCATTTAAGGATGAATTGCGTGCTGATAGATTAGAAGCTGAAGTATATTTGAAGTGGTCAGCAAATACTGATTTTAAAAATCGAGTAAAAATTGTGCTTGAAAATGGATCTTCATGTAATGCACCTGCATGTTTACTTACTGCATTCTCGGATATTTTTCCCAAACTTCTTTCATCACAAGTAAAATTTAATTGAATTAATTAAAATTGTTGTACAAAATTTGTAATTGTTTAAATATTTGGTCATTTCTTTTTTTTTTTTTTTTTAGAAATAATCCATAAATATCTTTCTTTCAAAACATTTCATAAAAAAATTTTTGCAGAACATTCCACAAACATTTTGATATATGATAACTAGTTTTTATCATACCATTAAATTCATCCTAAAATATCAAATAGACTTTATGTAGTGCATATTAATCGAGACATAGTTTCTCTTATATTCAGTGAAAATAATGGAAATAACAATGGTGGAAGTTTGCTGGATGCTATTCGTCAGAGGAAACAACGCATGCTGGATATCCAAAAAACAACCGATGAGGAACATTTGGAAGAAGTTTACTTGCAAATTCTTCAATCATGCTTATTTTTTCCCCTTTCTTTCGGTAATTTTGAAAACTTTCAGCACTATCCTTCATTTTTCAATCCAGCTGAGGCATCAGATGTGAAAAAAGAGGATAAATATGACAAATTGGCAGAAGATATTCGTTTATTTATGGTTCGTAGGAAAGGACAAGCGTTGACAGATGAAATTTTGCAGAGTTTTAAGGTAGGAAAGTATCATTTCTATCAAATCAGATTCATATATTTTTCCAAAATTTTTTAAGACTTCGAAAATTTGGTGTGAATTCAGTGCATTTCCACGAGTGAGAGCTTTGTTTTTTTCAGAATCATGTATCAGTTGAAGACTCGTTTGCATTTCGATCCATTTTAAAGCGTTTGTGTATATTGCAGAAAAACTCAAACTTATGGGTGCTTAGGGATGAATATCAATAATATATAGTTGAATATCGGCGTATATGTCTTATTTTTGTTGTTTACAAATTTTAACTTTTGCTTTTTGAGAAGCCTATGATATGTATGAGTGGAATTTTTGCATTTATTTTACGTTTGATGAGATTTGCAAATTCACAATTATGGTTTTAACAAGGTGGCATTAATAATTATTTGAATTCGGCACTTATCTTCTTTCAATAGTAATAACTGGAGTTTGAAAACGTTTAGTTGCATTAGTGGGTTTGTATCTTTTCTATTTTTTGAGAAGTCGAAAATATACCAATTGATTCTCTCTATATAAATTCGGTATCTCCCAATCTCATGAATGAATCGTTTTAAATTACATTGTTTCGTTAGAAATCACCGATACCGCTGACCGTTATTACACAACTACTTCTGTATATATTATAATTTATGCTCTGAAATCAGGAAAAATCAAATGTCTGATCATCTTATTCCATAGATTATCATTCTTTGTGTTATATTATATTTTATTCTATTTTGTTTCAACCATTTCGTTTCATTTTGTTCAATTATATTTCGATATTATCAATATAATTCTAATAATTTCAAAATAAAAGCACATATCTTTTTTAAAAAACTACAATAAAATCTGGAATATCGCAATAGTTACATTGAAAAGATTTAAGCAATTCATTATTTTTGTTTTTTTTAAAAAAAAAAAGAGAACCATATCATTCCATTCTGTTCAATTCTATCGTCCATCACTATCATTCATTTACTACAGAAATAAAACAAAAAAATCTTTTCTCCAATTGAGGATTTGACAAATTTCAGCTCTTACAGTTTTCCTATCTGTTTGGTATATTTCTTTCTAACTTGAAACAAAAACAAATTTTGAAGTGAATGGGAAAGTTTGATGAAGAGGTCAATTTAAATAAATGAAAATGACTACAATATGATGTCAAAAATGTGTAAGGGAAAAAAAATTTCAAAATCTCCCACTTCACTGATAAATTGCCAATTTCAATAATTTGATTATCTTCTGTAATGGAAAATATGAAAACTTAATTTGTATTGATCAAGCGATCACTCAATCAGTCAACTATTGATTGTTTCCATTAATGAATTTCATTACAAAATATATTTACACAACACATTACACTCTATATAATCAATATTATCAGTTTGATAATATCTTAGGAAAGTTTTCTATTAAATTACGAAATTATCAAATCACTTTTAAACACATAAATGATATTTCCATTTTCGCTTCTGATGAACTTAATTAGTCTACTGGCACTAAACAAGTATTATCACATTAATGGTGTAAAGAGGTTTATTTTTGCATAAGTTCGTTATGCTCTACCTGCAAAGCGGGAAGTAAGTCATAGAAGGTTCTGGATTTTTGATCTGGTCAGTTTTTGATATCGTTCATTGTTTGTTGGGAGTATTGCAATCTCTTGGAGAACGGTGAGCTGAGTTTTCCGCTCCCCTCTCCTCCTCCCCTCTCCTTTCCCCTTTCTTTTCTCCTCTCTCTCCTATCCTCTCTATCCCTCCCCTCTCCCTCTTCTCTCCTCCCTCTTGTGTTGGTGATGATTCCATTACTGTTTTGTTTACTTGTGCTTTTTTATTATATTAAATTTTTTAGCAAAATTTTGAGATATTGAGATCAAAAAGATTAAAGGAAAAATATGGGTCTAAAAAGAAGATGTATGAGAGGGGCATTTTTGCTATCACAGATAAATGACATTGAAAGTAGACGCTGCAACATTCTCATTATTTTTACTTGCAGAATTCTTCATACGGAATTCATTCCAACAATTCTGTATTAATTATTGTAATGAGAAACAAAATTTTTTCAATGACCGAATTTTAAAATGGGAACAAGACTTATATGTCAAAGAGAGGTTGAATGTCGCATACATTGATTACAACGATAATGATGACTGCATTGGTCGGTTTTCCTCCGTACAGCTTCCTTTAAATCTTCATAGTGCCTCTTTTAATCTGGAAACCTTAGAAGAGGAACTGTAGACAAAATCATATTTTAAATATCCCAGCAACCTAACATTCTTGCTATTTCTACAGTTGACAGGTGAGAAATTCTGTAGATTTGTTCGAGAGGAAAGTAAATGGATTATTGGATTTGTTGGATGAGGAAGCACGTCTACCGAAATCTTCATCTCACTATTTTGCTATTTGCGCTCATCAGCAATTCAAAAATCATTTCCACTTGATAGTTATTTTCAATTATTATAATGCAACTATTATAAAACAAGTGTTTTAAATATGTCTGATCACCAAGTATTTTCTAATTTTGTTGAAAAATTTCTCACAGAAAGTGGTATTGGCAATTTATCAGTGAATTTTTCCCTTACTTACACATTTTTGACATCATATTGTAGTCATTTTCATTTATTTAAATTGACCTCTTCATCAAACTTTCCCATTCACTTCAAAATTTGTTTTTGTTTCAAGTTAGAAAGAAATATACCAAACAGATAGGAAAACTGTAAGAGCTGAAATTTGTCAAATCCTCAATTGGAGAAAAGATTTTTTTGTTTTATTTCTGTAGTAAATGAGTGATAGTGATGGACGATAGAATTGAACAGAATGGAATGATATGGTTCTCTTTTTTTTTTTAAAAAAAACAAAAATAATGAATTGCTTAAATCTTTTCAATGTAACTATTGCGATATTCCAGATTTTATTGTAGTTTTTTAAAAAAGATATGTGCTTTTATTTTGAAATTATTAGAATTATATTGATAATATCGAAATATAATTGAACAAAATGAAACGAAATGGTTGAAACAAAATAGAATAAAATATAATATAACACAAAGAATGATAATCTATGGAATAAGATGATCAGACATTTGATTTTTCCTGATTTCAGAGCATAAATTATAATATATACAGAAGTAGTTGTGTAATAACGGTCAGCGGTATCGGTGATTTCTAACGAAACAATGTAATTTAAAACGATTCATTCATGAGATTGAGAGATACCGAATTTATATAGAGAGAATCAATTGGTATATTTTCGACTTCTCAAAAAATAGAAAAGATACAAACCCACTAATGCAACTAAACGTTTTCAAACTCCAGTTATTACTATTGAAAGAAGATAAGTGCCGAATTCAAATAATTATTAATGCCACCTTGTTAAAACCATAATTGTGAATTTGCAAATCTCATCAAACGTAAAATAAATGCAAAAATTCCACTCATACATATCATAGGCTTCTCAAAAAGCAAAAGTTAAAATTTGTAAACAACAAAAATAAGACATATACGCCGATATTCAACTATATATTATTGATATTCATCCCTAAGCACCCATAAGTTTGAGTTTTTCTGCAATATACACAAACGCTTTAAAATGGATCGAAATGCAAACGAGTCTTCAACTGATACATGATTCTGAAAAAAACAAAGCTCTCACTCGTGGAAATGCACTGAATTCACACCAAATTTTCGAAGTCTTAAAAAATTTTGGAAAAATATATGAATCTGATTTGATAGAAATGATACTTTCCTACCTTAAAACTCTGCAAAATTTCATCTGTCAACGCTTGTCCTTTCCTACGAACCATAAATAAACGAATATCTTCTGCCAATTTGTCATATTTATCCTCTTTTTTCACATCTGATGCCTCAGCTGGATTGAAAAATGAAGGATAGTGCTGAAAGTTTTCAAAATTACCGAAAGAAAGGGGAAAAAATAAGCATGATTGAAGAATTTGCAAGTAAACTTCTTCCAAATGTTCCTCATCGGTTGTTTTTTGGATATCCAGCATGCGTTGTTTCCTCTGACGAATAGCATCCAGCAAACTTCCACCACTGTTATTTCCATTATTTTCACTGAATATAAGAAAAATTATGTGTCGAATGAACAGTGAAGTGCCAATTAAAAGCAGAAAATTTGCAACGAATCTATAGTGATTTTTTCCGTAGTCCAAATTGCTGAATTCCACCATTCAAAATCTGACATGAAGAATCTGAACTAGACTACTGCTCGCAAAAAAAGAAAATTGTACTTTAATAGTGCTGCACCACTAAAACTCGGTTTCTCTGTATCATCGTAATCGTTTTCAATAGCTGATTGAAATCCAGCAGCTTTCCGCAAACCGAATCGTGGTTTTTCGAAAGATTGTTTTGAAAACATCCTGAATATAAATGATCAGATTGAAAAATCCCACTTTTTTAGAAATTTCTGAATGATATATTTAGTAAATGAAACCTTCTCGAGCGTCTTAGTGATGCAGCAGCTTTTGCAGCGACAACATTTGCTTCATCTTCAATTAGCTGCTCATCTACAACACCTGTTGCAAAAATTTGATCATGTTGAAGAGCTGAGATAATCCCCGCATTTGTTAGCAATTTTCCAAGTACATAATCGTCCTGAAACAGTCGCTTATATTGAATATTAACATCACTGCAGCATCACACGCTCCTGGACTTGAGCAAAGCGAGCACACGCTCCTGGACTTGAGCAAAACTTTTTCAATCTTTCTTCCGGAACACTATAGCTAGCCATTATGCGTTGAAAGCTCAATTATACTAAAATTTTTATGACAGATCGCCTGAAGTCATATAGTGTCAATGATAGTATTACCTGTCCAGAAAATTCGTTTGTTGCTTGTTTATAACGTCGTTTTTTTCGCAAATAAGGAATTTTAATATCTGAACTTTCATCATCCGTCTTATTTCTCTGCTTGCCGCTCTTTTTTTCTCTTGCACCACTTTTTCTTGCTTCAGCGCATTTTCTAATTGACCTAAATTGCAAAAGAAATAATTGTTTAGCAAACAATGAAGAGGAAATTAGTGATAGTTTAGGAAAAGAATTCATGGAAATACAAACCTGCTAATTTTCCGAGCAAGTTCTCGTAATTCGCTAACTTTTTCAGCTGATAAATGTTCCTCGATAAAAGCTTTCGTGTCATCACCAACATCATCATCATTATCATCATTAAATGTTGCCTTTGTGTCAAGTTTTTTTCGTTGCTCCACTTCGTTTTGTTTCTTCTCACGACTAGCAACATTTTTAACTTCATATATACGCTCATTGACTGTTAAAAACTCTTGCAGCATTTACAGTAAATAACTAATATCTTTTATACTCAATTTAAAAATACAAACTGAACGAAAAAGAAAACTTCACTAAGCTTACTCCTTCTCATTTTTATCGAAGAAATTATGTCGAGTAAAATTTCTTGTAGTGCTCTTTAAAATTGCAGCTGTTTCAGTGCCTTCCTTTTTGAGTAGTTTGCTATCACCTATAATAATCTATCATTAACACATCGAATAGAAATACCATGTAGAAATAAATATGCATAAATTATAAAAAATTTGAAGAGAAATCTGTCACAGAACAAATTAAAATTTCTCAAGTAATTTATTGATGATAATAATATAAATTTATTAACAAAACAACCTAAACAGAATAATTCATGTAACTCGTTGGTTTTGAAGAATCTTCGTTGTCTCGGATCAACCAATATACGATTTGACAGGAAAACTTTAAAAATTTGTCTAAAATGAAACCACGAGTACAGCAGAACAAAGACGAAGATTTGAAATTTGCATATATTTTGGATAAAGAATCTGAAGAAGGTAAAAAAATATGTCGAACCTATGATAAATTTTCTCTTCAATGGTGCCACCGGTTAACAATCTGTATATAGTAACAGCACGTTCCTGTCCAATACGCCATGCTCGCTCTCGTGCCTTCAAATCTTTTCATTGGATTTTTTTTTTTAATTCTGATTATATGTATGAAAAAAAAAAAAAAAAAAAAAGGAACTGCATGTGAAACTATTGTATACCTGAATATCGGTAGAAGGATTCCAGTCAGGATCAAAAATTACCACTCGATTAGCACCAGTAAGATTGATTCCTAGTCCACCGACACGAGTAGTTAATAGAAAAATGAAAATCTTATTATTCTGCAATGGTAAAAATAAAGATTTCATCTCTTGTAAAATAAATCTAGATTTTCTAGGTCAATTTTCTTACAGCTAAAAATTTTAATAAAGTCCTCTACATGGCCAATACCTTATTAAATTCTTCAACAAGTAATTGACGGCTTCTAACAACTGTTGTGCCATCCATTCGCAGATATTCATATCTGAGAAAAATCGTGTAGTAAAAATTTTGTTCGTAAAATTAGTTTAAAAATTAAGCCATATAAACAAAAATGAAGCAACCACCTTTCTTGAATCACAAATTTTTCCAGGATCGTTAACATTTGTCGACTTTGAGAAAATAACAGAACTTTTTGACCTTGTCGTTTCCACAATTTGAGGAGTGCCTTAAGTACCTGGAAAGAATTCTGAATTTCAATTAGTCAAGCATTCCAAAAAAAAATCATGCGAAAATGAAACCTTTACCATTAATTACCTGCATTTTGCCACTTCTACAGGGAGCTCCAAAGCCCATTTCCTCATCGGCAGTGACATCATAGTCATCTGTAACAGTGAGAAATTAGATCAGTCACATTACATGGTGCAACCTTATTAATGCTTTGACAAGAGTATGTGTGTTGTAGCATATAACTAAAATAAGTCTATTCACATTTTCTCATATCACTGATGTAAGTAAACAGTGAGAAGCAAACAATAACTCGTATGCAATTTTGCAAAATATTTAAATTTGATTATTAAAACACGAAATGCATACTAAATTTATTTGGTCCACCAGTTACAAGATCTGGATGATTACACAATTTGCGTAATGTAATTAAACCAACGAATGCATCCATTTTACCACACAAAATACGGTCACACTCACGAGATGATAAATATTCTTCATAAAGTTTACGTTGACATGGTGTAATATTGCAAAAAAGCACCTTAAGAAAGAAAAGCAGTAAATGACTCAAAGACTAGTACCTTGTTTTAAAATAATAAAAGGGGTCTCAAATTAAATGAAAAAAATAAAAAAGCACCAGTAAAAATCAACCTGTTCTGTTTTCGTGGGTAAATGAATAGACATTTCAACATCCTTTTTCAAGCGTCTTAAAAGATAAGGGTTGATCGCATCCCTGAAATTCTAAATTGTAAAAATACATAAAATTTATCAGAAATTTTGAAAATATCATGATTCAAACCGATCTGGAAAAGTTTAAAATAGAGTAAGAATGTCAACAAAGCTACTACTGCAGCAGAACCTTAACTTTTTTTTTAGCAGTGAATCATTATGCAGCAATAATACATAATCTTTACAGAAAGAGACTAATATGTGAGAAGTTAGCCTATTACCTTTCTTTTTGAAAGTTATGATGAGACAATCACTACCATAAAATTCCTACTTAGTGTACCGATACATTTCTTAGCATATCTGGAATATCTTTATTAAGAATTAAGAACCTCAAAATGCAGGCACATTTATAAGCGGTACGCACTTGAACCGCAGTAGCGTTTGCGTATCCTCCCTGAGTGATTGGAATTGAAAATTTATCCATGAATGATTTCAGAGCACCGAGGCGACCGGGATAAACGAAATCGATTAATGACCTATAAATGATATTCCGTTCTTATTATTAGCTGAAAATCAACATTATATAACACAGTGATAAAAGAGTTTACAGCTTAGTTAACTTACCTTTTTAATAAACATACTTCAAGTTTAGTCGACAAAAATATATTCTATACATATCTGAATGCACATTGACCCTAAACTGAACTGAAAATAGCTTAAACACATACCATAACTCTCGAAGAGAATTTTGCAACGGTGAACCGCTTAGAATCAATCTATGAGGAGTACGTATTTCTTTCACAGCAAGAGTAATCTTAAAATTAAGACCTGCGATTTTAAGTGTAAAAAAAATATTAAATAATGACCTTAGGGACATTTTACTTTAAAATAAATAACTTTACCTGCAAAAAGAATCCGAAGCAATAAAAAATTAGTTGGAAATTAAGTTGTTTATTACACTACACTCCTGAGCGTCTTTTGCTATACTTTCTATATGTTTTGAGAAATGCATATCATGATAACTTATTTTCTTAGATTAATAATCTCCTCCTATCATATAAAGACTTTGAGTTATCATCGCATTCATATTTAAAAAAATGTAGAAATCAACAGATGGGCAAACCGAACATGAAGACTCCTTCTCATGAACTTTTGTGAGCATTTTACACAAACTCAAATAAAAACTCGTATAAAAAAGTAAAAAAAAAAAAATACTACCTGCGCATCCGGGTTTCTAATTTTATGCCCCTCATCAAGTATTATATAATGCCAGACTTTGTCAATCAAGTGCTTTCGATTTTTAGCAAATGTTCCATATGACGTTAACAAAACACTACCATCGCTAAAAGTAGCTTGAAAGCATATGTGATATTTAGTACAACTTTAAAACTCGAACAAAAATAGCTTTATTTTTTAATGATGTAATTAAATACAATATTCCTCCAGTACTATTTTTTTTAATCCAAAAATATCTAAATTTCCATTTCCAAACGGAAAATAAACCTTTGTGATACAACCATTTTCCGAATTAACTGCGCACTTTGACCGTGGAAAGAACCACTACTGTGTAAAATTGCAACACGACAAAGTGGGAACCATGTACGGAATTCTTTCAACCACTGTCTTATTAGTGTTGTTGGACATATAATTAGCACTGGACCAAGGCCAGAAAAGCTATAAATAAATAATTTGATAAAGATTCAGGAAAAAAAAAAAACCTACAAATACTTCCTTAACAAACTACAGATATTAAGGAACCATAATATATAATAGTTTGATGATACCTGAATTCTCTATCCTCCAAACGTGAAAATGCTAGTCCTCTTAGGAATGAAATCACTTGAACTGTTTTTCCAAGACCCATTTCATCAGCTAAAATGCCACCAACACATTGATTATGCAATTCATTCAACCACCTTACACCAGTTTTTTGATACCTGTAATGATTCAAAACAATGTTGCACTTATTCAAAACTTGAACTACTTCGAACAACCTACTGCTTTAACTTTATTCTGATTATGCACCCTACCAACTTCTCCTTCATAACTTTTCTTTATGTTTTTCTATTCAAAACTAGCAAATAATAGTAAGGATAAATCCGACAAACTTAATTACTGCGTGATGGAACTTTGGCACTTGACATAGGAAAACCAACAATCTCTAAAATATATTTTAATTTTAGTAGATTCTCTTACTCTATTTTAAGTTTTCATATGAATGACCAGTGTACAAATAACCCCGTTTCCAAACTTCATGCTAAACAAAATTCTAGTCTAGCTAGAATTAATGCAGTATTTCATATTTGAACATTACCAATATTACACATCCGCATCTACAAAATCTCCTGAAAACAGATTAAACTAATGATTTCTCCTTTTATAAATTATTTACAAGAAAAACAAACTTGTAGAGCTTTTCCCAACAATCCTTAGGTATTTTTATGTCATTTTTCAATTCGTGGAAATCACTATCCTTTGATTGATTTCCCCCATTTTCAATTTTTGAAAGTTCCAGTCGAGCAAGATGAGTCCTGAACATAAAAATAAGAAACTGTATTTATTTAAATAAAACCTATTAGATTCTAAAATATCTGGTCACAGAAATTCTTTGAGAATAAGAAACTCAGACATCAAGTGTCAATTAGTTATTGGTTCGTTTTGTACCGTATTCTTTTCTTAAAGTAATCATCGTCAGCATCATCTCGTTCTTTCCTGTCAATTTTTTTCGTCTTTACAACTTTTCGTGAACGTTTGTTTTTTACTACGGGTTCTATTTCAGACGACGTATTTCCATCATCTTCACTTTGAGCAAATTCACTATCGGATGTAGAACTCACTGGTTCGTCACCTTCCAACTGCACTGTGATGTCTGCCTGATAAATAAAAGTGCATGAATAGTGAGAAAGCGTAACTGTCTATTACTCTTCCATAGAAACTTGTCGAACGAAAAAAAAAAAGATAAATTGAAAATAGAAACATTCAAATAAGATTTAGAAACGAGCTATACCTTTCGCTTCTTACCCACTTTTAGTTCTTCCAGCAGAGTTTCTGAAGTATCTCTTTGTGATTTATCAAGCACTTCAAAAGGAGTCATATCACCATTTTCTACAAGTGTAGATTGTGAATTTTTAACTATAAAATTCTGCAATCCTTCTGCATTTGCATTCTGTGACACTCCAGTTTCCAAGGCAGCAACATTTTCAGTAAATGTCTTTTCAACCTAGAAATGAAGAGCAAAAATACACATTATTATAGAAGGAAATAGCACAGGATAAACAAAGTCTCGTATTAATTTATATGAATAGAAAGAATAATGTTATCAGCTTAATTCGCTCACTTATTTCATTTCAAAGGGTTTTGTTTAATTTAGTAGATCATTCATTAAAGTGCCTCAACTACCGCTGCAAATATTAAGAAAAATCTTTCCAAAGATAGAAAAAATAGAATACGAAAATTTTACTTTAAAGTAATTTCTCTTAAAATTTATTGTAATCAATGTATAACAAAGAAAATTTTTTTTATATTTTGACGCTCATATAATTATATATCATATGAAGTTAAGCTAATCAGAAATTACTCAAAGAGAAAAATTGCTATGCCTGTTGCAGTAGGCCTTGTTCAAGCTTAGCAGCACTGTATACAGCAACATTACTGCTATCAAGTGCCGCAAGATCATCCACATTTTTCCTGTCCTCCCCAATTTCTTCACGATTAAAACTAAAAGTTGTTCGTCGATAGCAATCCCATTCAATTTTTCTATCATAATCTTTTTCCTGTTTACTGAGATCCATTCGAAAGAACAAAACATCAAAGATCGTCACACACTTCCTATATTGTATAGAAAATTTTTCTTGCAATTATAGATGTAACAATTATGATAAGATAAAAGCTTAATGGAATTATCACCGACATATATCACAGATTAAAAATAAAGCGCATAGTGATGCATTGGTAATATATTCAACAGATATCACTTTACTTTTTTTTTCTTAAAGCAACCAGTTATCATCATTCATCTTATTGACCACTGATAATTCAACAACACTTAGTCATACAATCATATCTATTAATTTCAATAATTTGTTTCGTTTTTTATTACATTTCAATTGTGCTTAAATAGAGAGAGAATAATACGTATATTCCAGATGAAATAAATGTGAAACTTAATCCTAATACTGAGATTGAGTTTTGATTCGTTTCTAAAGCCTATACTAGTTATTTTTTAATCCAAACATTTAATAGCTAATTATCAGTACAACATAGCCGAGTCCCAATACTACAGCAGCCCAGTCACCAAGCTAACCGTACTAGGCTCATTTCGAAGAAAATGATAACTGATATGAATTAACAGTATATTATCACTTTTTTCTCTGCCCTCTTTCATACGTGCTTGATATTTTAAACCGTGGCATTCTTCTCGATCGTCTCTTCTTAATTAATGCTATTCTCACTTCACCAATCTCTCTTTCCAGTATGCATCTTCTTAAATTCCCTCACTATCTAATACAAAGTTAGCGAATCGCCTCAGTTCCTCCATTGTACTCATACGGGACATCCAGTAAACTGAACTTAAGCCGTACGTTGCTTAGTTTTTACTCGGTGACCTATGCGTGTGTTGGGTAGTAAAGATTTCTCTCTTCATTTCTCGCAGAATAATGTCAATATCCAACGTTATTTCAAGTGCCGTTCGCGAAACCTGCTCGTAAACATATGAATATGCGTGGTATATTCAGAACTGTACATAGCTTACCTTGAAGCTTTCCTTTTTAAGTTTAATAAGCAAACAATTTCATGATATTCAGGACTCGTTCAATAATGCTTAATTCATCTAGGATTTTGTATATCAACATTTGCTCATGCAACAATTAATAATGAGTGGACGATTCTATTTTTGTTTGTTAAAAGTGTGTCAATAATAAAATTTGAAGAATATATTTACCATCGTAGATATATTGGAAGTAACAGTAGCTTTACATGGTATGTGATATGCTCATTTCGATGGACAATGGGTTGTACGTCAGATAGAATTACATCCTAACAAAAAACCTTTATTACTTCTTGCTGGTATGTTATGTACTTCATCCCTCCCCACTTCTTCCTCTATCAACAGATAGATCTAGATGATCGTCGGCGATAATAAAATTTGGATATAAAGGCATTCATAAGTTTACTTTAGGTTGTTCATTCAGTACTACATCTAAACTTTCAGGATACCATCGTCAGGTACTACATTAATAATGAGTTTTCTTCGTTTAGGCCGCGATGATATGGAAATGTGTGAGTTGTCTTTTGACGCAACGCAGTTGACAAGGAAAAAAGGTGCGGAGATAATAGCTATTGAATTTGAAACGGTGTGGCATCAGTGCGGTGGATCAGTATACCACGTCCGTCTCAACATGAAATAAACTAATACATTTGTCGAGATTATAAATTCAACTTTACCATTTTACGTTGGAAGCGAATAACAATCGAAAATAAAAATAGGCTTAATCAAAGTTGGACACTAAAGGTGAGTGGGATGTAAAAGATATAAAATCCCATTCATGAACAAAAATTTTTTTTATATTATATCCCACTTATGAACAAAATTTTTTATATTATAAAAAGCGTACCAAATATAAAACAGCAGAAGTTATCAGATGAATAACAACATGGAAAAAGTAAATCATTTGTACAACGGATGTAAATGCGAAGTAAAAGATCTAGTTCTTATCAATGCTATTTACTCGTGCGATAAGCTGACGGGTACGTCTTCTCTCTTCATCTGCTTCTGCGCCTAAATTAATTTCATACTCCTCAAGTACCTGAAATGATGGGAAGTACCTCAACACACTCCCAAATGAAAGCGACGGAAATGATTTATCGATTGAAATATAAGATATACGCAGAAAAACACTGCGCTGTTAAGTAACAAATGGTTTTTTTGTGTAATCATCATGGAAGTTATGATCCAATGCAAAAATAAACATTGGAAGATATGGGTGATTACTCAAGACAATGAAACCCAAATAATAAAAAAAAAGAAAAAACATGGAAAAAAGTCCAGAAGAATAGGAGAAAAACACTAAGCATTTTACTTAATTTCCGAAAATAATCATATAAGAACATAAAACAAATGTGATTAAATTAACAGTAAGGAAATCAGTAAACAAACCGGCACAAGATGTTTGCTAAGCTTTCCATTCCCAGTTCGCATTTGAAACAACTTCACCGCTCGATTACGACAGCCAGGCATTGCACTTGAACATATATCCGCAAGAATTAAAATGATTCGTTGCAGCGTGTACAAACCAGCATCCAACTTATCCAGATACAGTTGTTCAATTTCATCATCAGATAATTTGCTATTCTGTGTCAAATTAGCTTGACGGGCGTCAAATCGGTCCACACGTTCTCTAAATACATTTCAATAAATAACGCTGTTGATTAAAATACCTGCAACTGTATACAATAGAAAGAAAAATCAGAATAAAATATATGTCTAATTCGAACGGAATTTTAAATTCACAACATAGCACAAACTTCCTTTTACTTTATCCTTTCTAATCAGTTACTCCAGCTTCCGAAGGATAGTACCTCAGAATGAAAAGAATCACTCTCTTTTGCATAGTAGAAACTAATTTCAGAAGCAAAACTTGCTGGTATTTTAGAACGAGTTCAACAGCACGGTCAACTTTTTCGTATTCATGTTCGCTAAATTTCGAAAAAATTCGACTGCGTCCTTCTTCACCACAAGACCTCAATAAAGATGACAAAACCTACAAAACTTCGCATTTTTTTTTTTTCGCCTCAACAAAACAATAAACACATACAAATCCATAACAATAATAGTAGCAGTCATTCCTTACAACTTAGATAATAGAAGGAACTGAATGTTTTACCGACCGAACAGACATGCTCTTCATGTTCATCTGGTGTTGAATCTTTTCTCTTTTGTTTTGCTGGAGTCCTCATAAATAGCGGAAAAATTGTTCGCAAACCGGGAAATAAACTCATGAAAGTTTTGAATGAACAATACATAAACTATGGATTAACGTCAGAAAATACGACGAAGCATTATAAAAAAATTTATTCGATAATTCCTCAAACTGTTTTCAGCAGTCATTTTTCGCAAGTGTGACTCAATGTAGACAATTATTATCATTAAAAAACTCACCGAGAATATCTATGAATTTCGCACAATTGGATCTTCCTTCTATACCATTTGTAGCATAATCCAAAACTTTTAGTGCACTTTCACGTGACTGCTTACGTTCCCTAAAAAAATTAGGGACTTTCATTTAGATAAAAAGTAAATACGTGAAAAAAAAATAATTTTTGTAATGAATTTGACAAAAAGTAATAAGAATTTTGAAGACTGGTCACATATTAGTACCTCAACATAAGATTCATTAATTGAAGGCCTTCACCATCCAAAAATTTCTGCCTATTTGGAGCATACATAAGCGCAGCGCATACAGCATTAAACAAGTTCTCCATATGCTCCCGTTCATCTGCACTGCCAGGATCATGACGCTTGTAAGTGGCCAAAGCCTAAAGTATATTAAATTGCACGGAAAAGTCCAAATCCATATAAACGAAGAAATTTCATCAAAAACCTACTGATTATGAGTCTTTTAGAACTTTTGAAATTGTAATATAATAAAAACTTACACGAAGCAGTAAATCGAAACCATCAACTTTTTCGGTTAATCGTTTTCTAGCTAATTCGGTTGACTGCAGAAGCAAAGAAAGCAATTCACTAGCAAACATCTTATTCGCATCCAAACCTCCTCGTTGAGTTGCACGACGGAGAAGCCAAGCAAACAGGCCCTGTTCGACACAGATATCAGCAAATGACGGTCGGAAATCGAGCACCTGCAGAAAAAAAAAATCAAATTCTACAGCAATTAAGGAGGATTAGCTTTTAGATGAATTACTTTCTATGATGATGTCTACTGCACTCGTAATGTTTGCAAATATACAAACAAATGTCAAATGTTAAATTCTTCATTTCCAGTCCTTCAGCAATAAAACTTATAATAATATTTTATGGCAAATCACAATTTTGAATTATTTCCCGCAATTAAACCAAATCTTAATTCGAAAATATATTGACTTTCCAACTGAAGGTAAACAAATATCTAAAAATCTACATTTTCTACGACTGATAATGCATTATGGATTGCATCGGCTTCGTCTTTTATAGTTTCATCCATACGTTCAATGCTTTGCTGTACTAATGTTTCAATTAGTTGATCAGCAACCAACACATCAATTAGTTTTGCTGCCCCACTTTCACCTTCATTCAACGTATCAACATCTGTTAGTTCCTTTAAATACAAAAAAAAAAAAAAAAAAAAAGAAAAATCGATAAGGTCTCGCAAGTATTATTCGAAATTTCTTTCTAGAATTCCAAATCTTACAAACGGTCGATAATATCTGGATCATAATAAATAAAACATACTAACTACGAATACGAATAACTACGAATTATCGAGAAAAATTGAGAATATGCATAGTTAGTGTTTTTGAAAACGTTTGAATTTTCGAAATCTAATGATCTTAATATAATTTAGTATCACATCATACTTATCATACCATATTACACTTACCGTAGTACCGTATTGTTAAAATAATTTAATACCGTACTACACTATAATTTACTGCTATCAGTTAAAAATCCCTATAAATTTGCATCAGTTCAGAGAAACCTGCAACAGATTGATGACGGCACCAACAACGTCAGAATTTTCGTGAGCTAATAATTGCAAAAGGGTAGCTGTTCCGCCATGATCAACAAGTAGTTCATATAAATCGGGTTGCGTTGCCAAAGCATGCATCTCCTAAAACAGCAATCCATATGGAGATATTTTAAAAAAAGTGTTGCTAAAATAATTATAAAACCTGTATTGCTTCATTTAATTCAATTTCGCTTTCCATAAACTTTGCCGGTTCGTCGCCATATTTGATGCGCATCTCTCGGTTTTTCAGACAACGTTTCTCCAGCTAAAACGCTGCAAAATGTTGAAATGCTAAAATTAATAAGGTAAAAGTAACTGAGCTTAAGGAAAATAACAACCCGAAAAGCATAAATGAAACTAAGACTTGACCTGCATAACAATTCGTTTAACAGCTGCTTCATCAACAACCACTGCCTGTGATTCATCCCGCTCCAATGCAGCCAGAATATCTTCTGGTGTGGTGGTTGCTGTCGATAAATTCGAAATATCAATGCGAGGTCGTTTCAACTTTACCTTAAAGCAGCATTAATGCTAGTCAATATTTCACTTAGCATTCAAAATGCTATACCTGAACCAGTGACTAGTGAACTAATATTTTAATATCAAGAATCGGAAAGACCAAAACCACCAAAAATGTACAAGGGAAAATCACCTCAGCTGATGCTCGTAGAATCTCCGTCACATCGATAGAAGACATTCTTCTGCAAAAGAAAAAAAAAAGTGTGCAATATGCAAACAATTTAAATCACAGATTAAGCTAGCAGAACTTCTTTTAATTAGTCTAAACAACTGGTACACAAAACATCACTGAATTTTCTTGCACTACCAGAATAACCCGTCTGAAGCCACATATCACCCAGAAAGTTCTTTCCCAAAATTTACTGCTTATACAATTTCTTTAATTATTCTAGTTCACCTACGGAAATTAATAGAAGTCATAATAATGCAGGTAAACTGGTCCAGCAATACAACCTGTCGGTTTCAAGAAAGAAGTGTGCAATCAATGTCATTTATTTAAATCACAGTTATTAAAACATAGAGATCGAAAAAAATGTAAGATACCAAGGAATTAATGAAGATTCAGTGCTCATAATAGAGAGGAATACATGTCGTAAAAGCCAGCATAAAAACGTATTAGGTGTTACCATTTACATTCAATTTTTTTTTCCTTTTTCTTTTTTTAAACATTTCCTGAAGGCATCTGCTCCGAACAACATTAAACTTGAGCAAACACAAGTTCAAATATGAATGTTACTAAACTAATAACATTTAAATCTCAGAAACCACATTTAACATTTCAGCGACTGAATGGCTAACTTTTACGAAATACTGTTCATCGCCAGTAATATTCCACTTTGTTTCTGAAAGTAAATTCAACAATTCCACGCGTTTATTTCTTTCTGCTTCATTGCTGCTATCACATTCAGAGATCAAGCATTCATAAAGTTGCTGAGCTGCATTACGTCGTATTATGGGATAACGGGATCGCAAATTGCGAACAACCTGCAACATATTAATTATAAACTCTTGAAAGTCATCGAAGTCAAATAAGATTTGTACAAAAATTGTAAAAGCAACTTAAGTGAAGTCTTGCAAAAAAAAAAAAAAAAAAAATATCCAAATCTAAGAATAATCGATGAAGAAAAAAACTTGCCAATGACGCAGATTTTTGCCATACCAGACTAGATGAATTAAAATGCAAGAAATGGCATAATACTGAAATACATATCCGAACTTTCTGCGCGCTTCCTTTAATTGTAGCCTCCTGTAAAAATATTTCGTAAACAAATTCTGGTGCTATCACAAAGCATATTTTGCATGATAAATAGCATAATTTTTGTCTTGCTAGATTAATCACTAGACTTCTGATCTATTCAGCGAATCACTTTAGAAATGATCAGTAAGGCATGAATAAAGTAACTGTCAACAATCACCCTATAGCAACCGTCTGACTTCTGATTATCAAAATTTTATACAAGTATAAAATAAAACTGTACAATAGCAACGCGATCCACAATTTTTCGAAGAGAAGGTGAAGAATCTGGGTCTGCTTCAAAACATTGAAGAAGTTGTGCTGACAAAATTTGTTCTAGTGTGCGAAGCAGTGGTTGGGTTACACGTAATAATCCAGCATTATTGATTAAAATGGATGTAAAACATTGAAGAAAAATTTCCAGTTCCTGCAAATTCGAAATATTTTCTTCCTAATACAATATTCGGTTAAACTACTGACACTTTGTTTAAGAATTGATAACAGTATAGCTGTTAATAATGTGAAATTTATCACATTTTGCTACTAACTGACTTGTCGTGATCCGCGAACATCAGAAATCACTGAAAGCAGGGCATCAGATGCGCCTCGCATCGTAGACTCCGTAACACCACCTAAATTTCAAAAAAATAGAGCGCATATACCTGTGATATTTTTGGGCCCAAGGAAAAGATCTAACAGTGGTAGTGCTCATAATTTAATTTAAATATTTACCAGCGGATATAATAAATCCACTTAAGGCAGAATATCTGTAATAAGAACTCTTCAGCAGCAAAGCCAATCGCTTGAAACAAGATGGCGATCTCCAGTCCACATTCGAACCATTAACCAAATAAATTTTTCTTAGCATTTCTTCTTCCTGAATACCTTTTAGCCCTGACTGCAAGATCCTCTTCATTACCAAAGCAGCACACTGAAAACTGGATAACTACAAACAAGAATATTTTTAAGATCTATCATTAAACTGTGATATTTTTTTTAACATGAATATCGCTACATAAGCTGCAAAAATTGCATATTCTGGGAGAACTACCTCACGAGTTGCATCAATTTTCTCAATAGACTGTTGAATTATTTTACAAACTGCTTCAGAAATACGATCAACAATTTTCGAGTAGTTTTGTGCCAGAGGCAAAATAATTGCAAGTGCCCTCATCGCTTCTTCGCGCAGAACTCTTCCAATATCACCCCTTTTGTCCATTGTATAATCGTCCAAAGAATTAATTAGACTAAAACACTTTAGGTTACAAAAAGAAATAAACAAGACAAGTAACATAAAACATATGTTTCGCAATAAAAAATTTACAAAATCGAAATCTGATAACAAACCAGTCAAGGAGTTCAGCAATATGACCTAGAGGTTCAATCCCAATTGAATCAACAATACGCGTAATAGCTTCCACACAAGAGCGCCGTCCACAAGCCCAAGTTGCGTCTAGTGCACTAGATCTAGAAAGCATACATAATATACTACCTAATTTACCAGTTGGGTTTAAAAGTTAATTTAAAAAACATCAAGACGAAGCTTTGCATAACCAACACAAAAATACTTACCCACTGATTGTAAACGTGAGTGTACGAATTATTTCGGCAGCGAAAGAATCGGATAACGTTGACAGCAATAATACTTCACTTGGAATGACACCCAGAAGAGCTGCTGTCCCTTCTCTATCTGATTCTATTTTGGCAGCAATTATCTGTAAACACAGCACTGTACGTCGAATCGTATTAACATTATTTCTGGATCAGTGGATATGTTCAGAATTAAAAGGAGTACTAATTTGATTCAGACCTTTCGACATTCACATTGAAACTGAATATGATTTCATTTCTAACACTAAAACACACTGCAGTGACAAAGAAAGCAAACAGCACTGTTCACGGCAAAGAAAGCAAACAGCACTGTAACGTAATACCTCTAGACTTGTAGAAAAAAACTAGCTAAATCTTAAAATTAAATTTAGTAATGAAACTATGCCAGCAATACCGAGAAGCAAAAAATTCAATAAACTACGTACCTGTGGCAAATAAACTTGACGAATTCGAAGCATCAGAAACTCGGCACCTGAGCTATCATTGTAAAGTTTGAAGAAGGATTTTCCTGCCTCACATGCTCCTTTTCTGATATCTTCATTTTCGTCGCAAAAATTCAATTCCAAACAAGAAAGCCAATCTTCAGTCTGAAAAACAAAAAGGTTGAAACATATTTTTCCTTTGTGAAAATCATGATGGTTTTTTCAACAATCTCTTCTCATCTTGATAATACTAGCTAACAGTCTCACATTCAAACTAATAGAACATTTGTTTTGTTTTATCAGGATCTGAAAATATGTACTTTTATAAGCCTCTTCGGTATTACGGATGATAACGACTTGATGAAAACGTTCATAGCTCGACGCATCAATTTAGAACCCAATGAATTGGTTCTTTTCTTGCACAAGGGATAAACCATGCTAGGTATCTGTGTAACATTTTCGTACAATTCTTCATGTAGAAGCGTTCCACATCTTTTCAAACCTGATAAAGTGAATGCCAGTGCAACCACACCTCCTTGTCGCATAATCAGTGACTCATTACTGATTAGTGGAATTAACTTTTTAAGAACCTACAAATAGTTTCTTTTTAACTCTTGCAAAATAATTGCCGGTCTTGCAAGACACGAAATTTAAAATTAAAATTTCTTACATAAAAAAATAGAAAGATCAAGATATGAATAGAATTTGCACCTGGGCGCAAACAAAACTTGGATCTGAAGCACAAAGACGATGGAGCGCTTCAGCAGATAATAAGCGAATTTCTTCATCCCAATGAGTTATCTATAAAGAAAGAAAAAATAATGAGCTAAGAAACAAAGTAAAATAGCAGTAGCTGCTAGGATTCTCCTACACATCTATTTTCCTTATATTGTACAATTTCCGATTTTTAATAAGGTATTTTTCTATAATTTATTGTGATTATATTCTCCCAACTAATTTACAAATGAAACCTTGAAAGATATAAGATGCTCGATAATCCCTTGCGTGTACATTGAATATCTTGCTATTTGACATGAGATCTCTAAATAAGTTCTACAACGTTGTCCAACAGCAAAATAATCAATTTTTGTCAATATCTCGATGCCATTTGGAAATGTACCTTGCCGACCAACAATTTCTTGAAATGCTGCACTAGCAGCTCTGAAAACTAACTGCATGGTGTTTATATAATCTTACCTTTTGATATTTTTCATTTACTTGACTTTTCCTAAACAGACTTTACTTCTTTACAGTACATTACATAACATTATTCATTAAAGTATACAACCGGTAAAACACTTCATAAGATCGTTCCAAAAGTCAGCTAAAATCTAGATTATAAATCTATAATGAATGCAAAGTAATTACCGTCTTACGTTAACTTCTCTATCAAATAAAGCTACACAAACAAGGGTTGTTGCAATCTGTTCAATATATGCTTCCAAATCCATTGGATGAAAAGTTCGAGCTAATGACCAACATATATAGCAAGCTGCATCCCGAACACTCGCTCCCAAAGCATGATGTCCTTGCGGTTCTTCAAATACTAAGGCCTGAAAATGTAGGAATAATTAAAAGAAATAACTATAGGGAACACAAAACATATGCTTCGATCCTTCAAGGATATTTATACATTAATACATACAACAAAATTTCAGTCAAAGATAAACCGTACGAAAAAAGTGTATAAGAAAGAATGATGTCTAGATATGATAATTTACTGGCAAATCACTAACGATTAAAAGGATTTTCATAATATCCGGAAGTCTTTCGAGGGGTAAAAAGCCGCGCCTTGCAAGTTCAGCAACTGCCAGACAACCGCCATGCCAGGCAGCATTTCCAGAGTGCAAGTTGAAATTAAATTTAATGATATTGCAGAGTACATCACTTGCAAGATGTTTCGGCAAACGAGATAAAATCCGCCCAATACCTTTTGCACCCGCCCAACGTATATCTGTATGACGATCACGCAATGATTCTAGAATTGTATTCAGAACCACTTCCAGCTGCAAATATTAATCTGTAATTGGTCATATTCCTGATAACAGCCAAACTGCTTTGCATTATAGATTTCTTTCTTTCGATCTTCGTGACATATATGTAAAAATAAAAAACAATGATTTCCTGAACTAGCCCTTACTATTGCATAAAAACACAAGCTATAATATCCTGTAAAAAACATGCTTCTATCTCATCTTTATATTACTGTTTCTCAACTTTCCGAATGTAAAGGCAAAACAATATTAAAAGTAATAACCTTAGCATATGGGACCTCGTGAACTTCGTCTGCAAAATTTTCTACCTCCAAAATATTTAATTCTCGACATTTTCCAAAATCACTTTCTAAATTAAGATTGCAGTTTCCATTATTGTAACGCCACTTTGCAATCTTAAACATAAAAACTCAGAGCAATTCACTATAAGAAAAAATAAATGAAACACTGAAGATTTGCAAATATATACTTACTTTTGGTTTTAAAAAGACCATTCCTAATCTTTGAACAATTTTGACCGTTAACTTCTTCACAGTGAAATCAGAATCTTCAAGGTTACTTAGCCGATGTAAGGCTTTTAATACCTGGTCTGTGATAAGCAGTAAGTCTTCACGTTCTCCCTAGAAAAGCAAAACAAAATAAAATAGATAATTTAGAAATTTATGTATAAATATTTTAATTATTAAGCCAGCATTTCATTATATGAATACAAACAATTTACATCCTCGTACTATTATTCAAAGTTCCTTGATTGTTAACTTTCTTTATTATTTAATCAATCCATCAAAAATAACCAGCAATTTTACCTTTTTAAGAATTGCTGCAAGCAAACGGAGACTACCAACGAGTTCATTGTTAAGAGACCATTTACCTTCACAGCTTTCAATCGCCGAAATACAAGGATCTATCAACTTCTTCAAATATTTCTTGCGTGCATCTTCACGAGATACTACCAATGAAAGTAATAAAGCAGCAGAATGCTGTAAAATTTTCAAAACTTAATTATTTGCCAAAATTTCTACTCAAAAAAAAAAAAAAAAAAAGTAGATAAGGAATTGAACTCTGCAGCAAATACTTAAAAAGATGACAATCTTAATTCCTAAAAAATTCTTGTTATACCTGACATCTATCAGTATTTAGATATAGATATGGCAGTGCAACGGTGATCATTCTTTCCAGTACATTACAACCATTCTTGGTTTCAAATTTGCTCAAATCAAATGGATTTTTGCATAAGATCACCGTCCAAAGAAGAAGTATATACCGGGAATCCATATCCATCACAGAATCAGAATATCGTTCTAGTGAAGAAAGTACTTTCTCCATATATTTCATCTTCAAAACCATAAAAATTTTTGTTTTTAAATTCTGGACAATTATATCAATCAAGCATACACTCACTAAGAAATAAAAAAAAATAATCAGAAAAGAAAGCCACACCCTTGAAAAATAAAAAAGATTCTAGGGACATTTTTGATAATTTTAAACGAGGAATATTTTCTTATGGTTCCAGAAAAATGAGAGCAGTTTTTAAATATAATCGTTACACATACTTCGTGAGGTAGCAATGAAAGGAACACCTTGTACCCCCTAACTTTCGATATATGTGCAAGCAATGCAAATGCCACATTTGACACATCGTCGAATCTTCAACAAATGTAACTATGAAATATAAACACCAATATATGAAATTGATTAAATAATTAAAGAATGACCAAAGTTCAAGTATCTGCAGTTTGCATAACACGAAACAGTTGGGGAACACAGCAATGAAAAAAACTTTTTTTGCAAACAAAATGAGAAATCTTACTTCGTCTGCCCACTGTCAAGAAATTTTATATATGCCAGTAACCTATTTATCATGATTTCCATGAAAGGATCAAGCAAACTGGGCTGTTCTTGGTACAAATCAAGTAGATATCGAAATCTGAAAAGCTCGAAAACAAACATATGTTTCAAGCAAAATTTATATAGAACAGGTATTATAAACCTATATATTTCCAAAATTTTCTGCAACTCCACTCTAGTATGCAAATGAGTTTTCAAATTCTTTAGTTCTTGACAACAGCTCACTAATGTTAATGTGCTTCACTATTGCATAGTCACTATTATCAGTAAAATAACCTTCATTTTCAAAAACAAAATTACAACAAAAGTCTGTAGTTATATTTTTTGACATCAGTAATCAAAAAGTTCACAGGGTCGGGAAGTGTACAAACTGTAATTTATTTACAACAACATAGGAAAAGACGTGTGCGGATTACGCCATATATGGCGAAATATTGATTAAAGGTAACCTTTCAGAACGGTTTTCTGTATCACGTTGACTGCTTGCAAACGAAGGTATAAGGTCGATAATAGCAAATACCTCCTGCCGATGAGTTTCAGCAAATGTTTTCTGTGGCTCTAAAATATCGTCTTGCATCATCGAATCAACAAGAGGCGAACCAGGAATCACATCCACTAAAACTTTTTCCTGCATCCTGAAACTACTTGTATTGAAAAACAGCAATTATCTTTATATAGTTTTTACGAATGATAATGAAATCGCAATACTTTAACATATCATTTCTAATTCCGCTTTTCTGACTTTCATTATTCTCATTTTGTTCTTTTATACAAACTTTACCAATTTAAAAATGAAAAATAAGCTAATGAAAGATTGTTCAGCGACTAATAAATGACTCTTGACTCACCACTAAATCTGATGACTTACGCATTCAACTCAGCGAGAAAAATCTGAGACCCTTCCAACTGCTGCCCCAACTACCGATTCAGGCACTCGTCCCTTCAAAACAATTAGACATAACTAAGTTCTTTCTATCACGTTGAGTAGAACTCAGTGATCGGATACACATCCCAAAATTGTTGTCACCAATACTAATATATCACTAAAGGAAAACAGGCCGAACAATTTTTGGGAGATTGTCTGGCCAAGTTGGAAAAACAGCAAAGACAGAGAATCGACACTTAAAAATATCCTCTCGATTACATTTATTTAATACACTGAATATTCTGAACGTTAAAATCCAAGTCTGTAATTAGAATTGGACAGCGCCAGTCAGGATATGCTATCATTGCAGCTAGCCGTACTTACCTCCACGTGACTCATCGAAATGTCAGCATTCAGCTAGAAATTAATTTTTGCAATCTAAACAAGGGAAACCTTATCTGTGATCTTATTCCAGATATGCAAATTGATTCTCTCCCTCCATATTTCTCCAGCCAGTCTTTATCACAACGATATCCAAAGTTAATAAAAAATTTCCTAAGGATTCCAGTTTAGTTCTTCAGTTAAAATCTTTTAACGACAAATATTAGGCTGAAGTGATTGAAGAAAGTAAACTGAAGTGCTTAGATAATCGTTTATGTCCATTTCGAAATAACTGATATAAAAGATCATTTATTAGCTTTTCTCACCTTACCTCATTCACATTTGTTAAAGAAGTCACTTGCTGACCACTTCAACAACACTTTATATTCTTCGGAAGTCAACTTTGTAATCTGTTACCAGTATAAAGATTACCAATTTATTTAATTCAGGTTCTTGAATGGAGACTTGCCGTTTCGATAGACAAACATTTGAACGACTTCAGCAATTCCAATCAAATCGAGAAACAACGACAGTTAGTTTTACATTTAGCTCCCGTGTATTAGTAGAAGAGAGTGAACTTTGTCCGAATTACATATAAATGCTGCCACAAAGTGTTGACTAGAAAATAGTAATTGTTTGAGAAAAACATCGAAAATAGGTTGAAACTTGCATAAAGTACGGGAATAATTTATAGAATGGACACGGAGAATACAGAGCTACAAAGCAAAATACCCTTAAAAATATTAAAGTAAACTTAATATCATCAGTAACAAACTCTTCAAACGGATAGTTAGTTATATGCCGATATTTTACTGGCTTGATTATTTATCAATAATTTGTGCTTTCTTTTGGTGATTATATAATGTTCCTCTCTCCATTTTCCAAAATCCGTAAATGAAGTAAGCACAGCTTTATAACTCTACATCAGGACTATTTTGTGTTTATGCAGCTGGTTTTATGGTACCTATTTGAGCTATTTTGACACTTTACGTGCTGTGTATCAGATCTATTTCTGACACCTTGTTCAATTTGAAGTGGAATGCTAACTTTTATTTCTCAGATTCATAGATAAATTGCTAGCATAACCACTGTTTCGAATTATGTCAAATTATATTGCTTCTTTTGCTCTTATCAGGTTTGGTTTTTATCGTTTTCTGTTTTATCATTGACCAGTTAGCGTTTCTTGGTTATAAGTATTATCCTATTGGTTGTTGGTATTAGTACTTCGGTATTTTTATTTGTCATGAAGAGGTGATGGTATTATTAACTGTTGACTTGTTCGAGGCAAATCAAATCTTGATGTTTTAAATCAAAATTAAACCATTTCATTTTTTACTTTTACAGTTCTTCATTCCGTTCTTTTTCTAGACGATGTTTGTTTTACTGATTTTAAATTGAAAAAAAAAAAAAAAAAAAAAGAGGAAACAGCACGGGCTGTGTTCTCACCGTGACTTATGCACCAATTCTCTACGTTGTAATTATAACGGTATCTTAAGTTTTATTCCTCGCTTTATGAGACACCAAAGTGCTAATGGAAAGGACTGAAAAGTGTTTATATGATTAATCTCGTTACTACACTAACAAACAAACTTTACAAATTTAACGGATTTGATTCTGTCGTGCTAATGCTGGATTAAATTGTGAATTATATTTCGCAACATTTCCCTCCTTTCCTTCTTCCTTGCTTCCTGAGAACGTCAATAAATTGGTCAAACGCTTTCGTTCTTTTGCTTCTCGATCCAAGCGTTCCTGTCTTAGCTTTTCTAACTTCTGCTTCTTTGAATTTTCTTCTAAAGTCGACGGCTTTTCTTCACTTGACAATATTTCCAGCGAACTTTTATCATGGTGTTTGCTTTTTTTTTCGCGCTTTTTATGACGAGATTCCTCATTCTTACACTTCCTTTTATGCTGCTTTTTCTTTATCTTTTCACAGGTGTCTCTAGCGGATTTGTTGAACAACTTAACAACACATGATCGATTTTCTGATTTTCTGAACTCTTCCTTCCTTGTTGGAACTTTTTCATACCACGGCTTTTCCTGAAAAACTAAATCACAGTTCTAAACACATAAGGAGAGACAAAAATCAGAAAATAGGTATTAAAGCTTTCTTATGAATAAACTCTTTGACTTGAAACTTAAGAAACAAACTTTCGTCAACTCACTGGACCCTTGTCCAAGACACTTCAAGATGCCAACTTTCTTCTCATATTCTTCTTGTTCCTTTTTCCTCTCTAATGCATAATCTCGATTTCCTACTCCAAAATTTTTCCGGTATTCTCCTTCTAAATCAGCGAAAAGATTTATATGGCTGAAAGAGTTGATGAACTGCGCGTTATTATGATCAGCTCCACTTTTTCCATCTCTATACATTACCTCCATTCGTTCCGCATTTTGACGCAGTAAATTTACCTAAATATCCAACTGTAGCAATTTGTTGATGAAATTACATAACGAAAAATTGAAAAAATGAGAAATGAATACTATAATTGATTGATAATGTGCATTATTATTTCTATTCTAAAATTTTACGGCTTTTATTCTATGATAAAATCATATTCGAAAATACTGTTAACATTGTCGTTTATACGACACTCGTCAACAATGATGATATTCCTTAATAGGCATAGCTTCACATAATATCTTGTCTATTATGCGGAAGCTCAAATCCCACTCGAGAAATTTATTCTTTCCTAAAAGAAGCCAACCTTGTATTCTTGCTCTGCAAGCTGAGCTCTTTCAATCACCCCCTCTTTTTCCTCCTTAGCTTTCTTCTGATCACGACGTACACGTGCAACATTCTCCTTCGTCCTCACGTGCCACTTCTTTTTAGGCAATATATTCATTTTCTGGAAAAAAAATCCCCAGAATTTGAAAACAAGTGAATCGACGTGATGACCTTCGACGTAAATCATCTACTTTGCAATTACTATAAAATGTTCTTCCCTGCCTTTCCAGCAGTATAATTCGAATCGCACGATTTGGTCAGGAACATTTGTTTGGAGAGACTCGTGTATTAGATAATGCTAAATGTTGCGGGGATGTTCCTCCCTAACATGCAAATAACCTTCCCAACCTTGTAGCAAAGTATAGCATCACCTAGCAAAAACGACAAGAATTGATCACATTTCTAAACTGAGCAAACAATCATGGTTCCTCCTGTACTCTATCGACACAAGGCGCTTCACAGGTAAACATTGATCCACAACTTATCAGTGGTCTCTTGTGAGGTATGGTGTGCAACATCTATTAAAATTAAGAAAATGATATAAGAAAATGCACTGCAATCTACAAAGTAAATTTACACAATCATTTCACATAGTATAAAGAGTACTAAGGGCCGATGCGTATGCTTGCTAACATAGTATCTCGACGTACATGCAGTAGATGATTTGAAATAATACAGCAACAAACTGTCATATGAAATTACAATTAAAAAAATTATACATTATGAAGATATTCTCAGATATTAAATATCACTAATTTAACAAATAAGGCTGTAGTGAAAACTTATCCAGTAGTTAACTCTCTGCGAGGTGTGATGCAGAGATTCCAAAAAAAAAAAAAAAACGCCTATAGTTCCCTATCTAAGTTTTCAACAAAAAATATTACATAAAATTAATTTAATAAACCATTTGCTTCACGCATTTATCAACTAAAGCTTTTAACTGTAGCCCTTCTAAAGCATAATAATCCATCTGAAAGATGATATAAAGATAAATAACAATCAATTATGATACTCATTTATTAGGTTTCTAATTTTTTGTCTGGATTTAATAATATCTGGGTTAAAAAGGCGATTGTCTAAGAAGAAATGGCCAAAGGCTAATTGGTATAAAGTATAAAATTCTGCCACAAATGGGTAATAAGAGCAGCATATAACCTTGAAAGGGAAGCGATTTAAAAATTATCCAGAAAATAATACAATGTAAAACTCCTATATAAAATTGGGACAGGGAGCAAAATCGGATTTAATATTTTGGAGGGCAGGATTTATGCTGATGCTCAACCAAGAAATTGGACCAAAAGATTAAACGAAAAAAAAAAAAAAACTAAACCGAAGCAAGAAATTCCGAAAAAAAGTGCAACCTTTCTGCTTCAGTTAATTTTGCACAAAACTCAGAACAAGAAAAGCATGCTAATAATAACTTATTGATACACAAATAACAAGAAGCTCCAAAATGCTAACGTATTACGTGTAGGTACGTTAATAGAAAATCCGAGCCGAATACATTTAGACAAAGACCACAACCTCTTAATCATAAAAAATCTGAAAAAATATCCCTTTATAAAAGTCCATATGTACAAAAAAAACTGCCACTCACGCCATTTCAAAAGTTTTCACATTTCTTGATTTTTCAAAAACACATTTATTAACAATTCAGAATGAATATGAATTCAGTGAAAGAGCAAATGTTTGAGAAATTGAAAGGGAAGGGGATGGAACATGCAGATGACGTCGCGTTTCTTCGAATACTTTTTCGCGATGTTCCAGCGGTCGCGCATAGTCTTGTTGGGATAACCGATATGCTCGGGATGCGTTTACAACAGTATCACGAACTAGATGTGGTAGCATGCAAATATGGATATGAGCTCCGTCAAAAAGTGGCCCAAATTCGAGCGGTCGCTGCGTTTCAATTTGAACCCGAAATAGGTAATGTGACATTCGATAAAGGATGATAAGTATATCACAAAATCGTGTCGCAATGGTATCACGACGATACGGACGATCGTTCTCACTCCACACTACATGCACTTCATCGTTACCCAAATGCTTCAATTTCTGAGTAATATCTCCTAAAATTTTAAAAATCTAAAGTAATAGATAAAGCTATATATGCAGTAGTAACCATGACTTTCCTTAAAGGTAGCCAAATGCCTCGTCATTTAATTCGTGACGTGCAGGAATGGATTAACGAGATTTCCACTGTCCCTATCTATTATCTAGCGAAACCACAGCCAACAATATAGACCTTATATATAACAAGATTAACTATTTAATCATTTCTTTCGTTCTGTATCCTGCTTATTTGTAACAAATGATTCAAGTAAACAATAGTCTTTTAGCAAGAAGAATATTGCTAGTCGTCAAACCTCGCCGTTTCATTAACCTACTGTTTATATTATTGATGGTTTCAGTCATGCTTGTAGTCCCTTGCAAATATGATTTGCAGTATTTCGACACTTTACACTTACAATTACCATCCAGTATTATATATATCAAAGTGTATTTTATTTCAAGGAGAGCTTAAAATAAAATTTGTAAAAAAAGCTTACAAACGCTCCAAATGAATGAGAAACAAACCATCGAGCATAGTACTGACATGGAAAATAATTTCTGTATCAGCAGATGCATAATATGGAGCACTTACACCACTTGGCAGGCCACCACTATATCCGTAATGTTGATGACCTATTTGCACTTGCCAACCCAAACGTAAAATGAATTCATTGAATGCTACTGAACCACAACTATTAGAAAGTACTGAGACTTTGTCCTAAAAAAGCAATAATTAAAAACTGCTCCCACTTTCACAACTGAATCCGGACTTATTCTGTTTTCTTGAAATTATTCCACATTTCTATAATATATATTTCAAATATTCCTGTTAGATTTTAAGCAAGTAGAATTCACATTAAAATGACTTAGTGGCAAAATAAATTCAAAAAACTTAACCTATTAAAAATGTGGTTAACAAGAAAACTTGAAGCTTATTAAGCATACTTCTTGTCCTTTAGCAACGTAGATAATAGCCACTTTATGCACCTCTCGAGAATAAGTGTGATCGAGATGTCGGATATCGCGGTTGAAACTGGATGAAATCTGTCGCGTGCCTGGGAATAACCGCAAATCAGCAGCAAGCGTGCGCCACAAGACAAATTTCTCTTCATTTAATACCCGTGGCGAACATTGAGTTGTTTTTGGATGACGCGAAGCAGATATACTCGTTGTTAAGCGCCTATTCTGTTGAATGAAGAAATACATTTCGTTACATTCAATTGGATCCGCTTGCAATGTCCGTGGTAATTGCGGCAACATCTGCAGAAATTTGAATGAAGAGACAACTCAATAATTTACTATAAAATGGAACAATTAACACATAAAGCAAAGAGTTTATGTTCATGGGACGTACTTCGAATGGATCTTCAACTACTCCTTTACTGCTTGTCATTTCTAACAAGATCTTCGGTCGTAGTGCTAACTTCCGCAGCCAATTATTAACGCAATTCATCTGACGCCTAATCGTACGTTCTTGCGTAAAACACCAACAGTGTTTTCCAACTGGCGTTCGACTTGTCACACGTACGCCGTTGTCTATATCAACACTGAAGTACCACAAACTTCTTTGATACGAACCATTTATAAACTTGAAATTTCCATGTACAGTTTTGCTTGCCACGGATTCTGCTTTCTTAAGGTCATCTTTTAGGATTGCCGAATTAATTATAACGAACTGTCATTAGCAACAGACTGCTATTTAAGGTAAACAATGAATCCAAATTCTTGGTTTTTGTGGGCCGATAATCATAACATCATGCTTCTTTCAGTGCAGACACTAGAAAAGAAGCACAAAAATTTTTTTTGTGCAAAATCTTGAAAAAAATTTTTAATTCAGCTGAAACCGTAAAAAGGACCTTAGAATAGCTCTTCCTTGGTCAAAAAAAACACGTCCTGCTGTTAACGCATCATAGTGAGAGTTTCCGGTAGTATTTTCCACTGAGTTACAGTGAGCTAACGTAAACGACGGTAATGGAAATTGCCGATAATACGTAAGCAAGAATCCTTCCAAACAAAGCCTTCTACCATTCACCACGCGTTCCAGCAATGAACGTCTAAGTTGACAATCCATTAAGCTAGTTGATACGCTTTGCCACAGCAATTCATCAGCTAAGCGATCATCCTTCATCTCAAAACAAAAGTAAAAATCAATTATTTTAATGAAATATTGAAAAAAAAAAGTCATATTGAAAAGCAAGAGACCGTCAATATCACTTTAATAAAAATGGAAACAAACATACAAAATCGAGTGCCTGCTGCAAGACAGCGGCTAATTTGTCGCGCAAGCCGAGCTGTTTTAACTGATTCAAATCAGTACAGAACATATGAAGTAAACTGGAAGTTTTCAGCATACAAACACGATTCATCACTTCGGTCATTAATTTCGTATCAGCGCGCTCGATGATTAGGAGTGCCAGAGCATGCAATGCTAATGAGTAGGATTGCAGCGGCACCTCACTCGAATTCATCGCTAACAGATTAAGTAGCAGCGTTTCACCCACAGCATGGTCTGGTGAAAGAAGTGCGGCCACCTGCAATATTTTCATTTCATTGTTAATGACCACATAATTTGTATGCTTGCCAAAGATTGCTCCATGCTTAAAAGGATTCCACTATAGTCGAAATCAACAGTAAACGAATTAAAAGAACATCAAATATGTCCATTACTATTCAATTCATCTAGCCATTAAGCTAATATGGAATTAACAGTGATAATTTCAAAATTCTACAACTAACCTGCACACTTCTTGGTGAAAAATTGGACTGTTTAATGAGTTGGGTGAGTGAGTTAAGAGCTGGACGTGCCAATACAGTAAGATAATCTTTCGACATAGATGGCATATATTCCAGGACAACAGTAACACGTTCGGAAACAATCGCTCTGCCTAGAGCAAGTAGGATGTGAGCCTAGAATCATACTCATAATAGAAAAATTGCAAAAAATGCCAGAAAATTCAGAAACATGACTTCAACAATGTAGAAAAATGCAATACATAAAACAGAAAAAAAATTAAAGAAAATTGAAGAGGAAAAGAAATTGAAGGAAAAATGCCTACATCTAGTAAACAAAATCACTGTTCAAAAAAATCAATGTTCGGTTTTCTTCAAATCTTAAACTGCTACGGTGTTTTGATAAAATATCGAGATTCATGCTATAGCAGGATTAATGTCAAGTATAAATAAAGTTTTAGTAACAATATCATTATATTATTGTTTATAGAATCCCAAAAGAGAATAAACTTTTTCCTTTTTTAACAATATAATCTATTATTTAAATTACAAAAAATAATCAAAACTTGCAAATTAGTTGTGAAATCAAACAATGTCATGGCCTTTTTATTTCACTAATCTATTTTATTAAATCAGCTTAATGAAGTGTTACTTTTTTCTAAAATGTATATTCATTAGTGGAGCTCAAGTGCTTGCTGACAATATGTTTATTTCGATGCTTTACTAAATATATAATAAAGCAACAAGAATCTTAGTTTCATGCTTACTACTTTTTGATATTCACTAAGGGTGATGGATCTTTTCTCTCTGGACAGTACATCAATATAAAAGTAAAGAATTTATTTTTGACTACCAATTTCAATAACTGTCACAAAAAATCTACAATTGGAGCACTAATTATCAGAAAAAAAGTAATAAAATGAACTGTCCATAACGTATATAAAAATATTTTTGCACATACTACTGTGTAATTCTATGATATGAAATGCACTTGAACATTAATATAATTTCTAAACCTAAATATTTAAAGTTATAAACTAGTTAACCTCAATAAGGGGTGGAGGATTGACAGTTGAAAGAACAGCACAGTACGCGGGTAAACAGTGAGCCTGCCCGGAAGGTGGAAGAAGTAAAAGCCGGGTACAAATCCAATGTATTAGTGCATCAGTACCACTTAGTCGAAGCAAAGTGTTGATGGTCTTCGAAATAGTCTGAAATAATAAGCACTGTTAAAAGCTGCACAAAACTGATTTTTTCTTTTTTTTTTTTTTTTTTTAATGCAAAACAATGTAATACCAGGTTAATCGTAAAAGTAAGATACTGTCTTAATTAAGTTAAATAAAATCCAATCAATAAATTCAATTCACTCAATCATAAAGCAATGTAAAACCCTGTTCCAGTGAAATTTCTAATATTCTGAAAATGATTTTAATGATTGCTATGACTGAAGTGAATTATGATCTCACGAATGATTATCATGTTCAATATAAGATTTCAAAAAATAGCAAGTATGGAACAGAAACATAACTATGGAAGATACGAGTTTTCAGACTTACTTTAAATTTAGAAAAAGATACTCAAATAGCATACTCTAAGTTGTCGTGAAATGAAATGTCATATTTCAATTATGGAGAATTACCAATAGTTCAAATTTATCAACTGTAAATCATCAACTGTTTTAGGAAAATAAGTAACCTGAACAGCAAGATATGAATGAGCAGCATGCAACGGAGAGACCAAATTAACAATTCGCATCCACACTCTCAACCACACTACTGTGTCACCAGTAGACTGCAAAATTCAGTTAGAAAATCTGCATAAAACGGATGAATTAAACCTTTTTAACAAAATCCATTGATTTTTTTTTTTTAAATCTTTAAGCTTTTGCATCTTAATACGTATAATGAAATAACACACGTGAATAGTTGATCTATCTGATACATTTATTTTAATTGAAAAAAAAAAAAAAAAAACCAAAAATATAAAGTTTGAGATTCTAATTCTCGATCATCTCTTGACATCACTGTAGCTCCAGTGCAACTACTTTTTACACTTCAACTTCTTAAGATTTGGACACAGAAAACATGTTTAATACACATAAAGAAAACTTCTGTTTACATGGTTACAGCATCTTGGCAATATAATTCTCCACATAGGGTATCAAGAATGTTTAAAAACCAAAGACATCTCAACGGCTTCTTCAGTCATCAAAACTCCCTCTGAATACGGTAAACTCACATACTCAAAATCGACTGAACCAAACTCACTAAAATACCACTATTTCTATCATAACCAAAAAAAACAACAGTTAATGATACTTACTTCGTGCTGTTTTGTCTCCATGAGCCTTAAAAAGAAGAAAATATGAGGAGGAGACATGCACAAAGTAGCACTCCTCGTTACAACAATAGCAGAAGCTACATTTGCACAATCATTGATTTTAATGACAAAAGTTAATCCATTCAACCAATGTGCTCAGTGTGACAAAACTTTGTAAAATTGGAATAAATTCAAACTGCAATAAATTGTAAAATTGGTTTACATCAATTCAGATCTCAATTTTTTATTGTTGTAAGGATCCTTATTTTCCCACAAAGATCTTTTACAATAAAATATTATCAGGAAGTGAAAAAGGGAGGCTAAATGCATAAGAATCTATCAGAGATTTTTTAAAATCTCCTTTAATAGTATCCAATAGAACCCAAAACGAAGTACAGAACTTGAAACATTCTGTCGGTGTTAATAACCATATGACCTAATCTTTTATAAAGTAGAATTACTGAAAATAATCATCGAAACTAAAATAAACGATGACAACTTAAATCCGTGTTGATCTTCACTTACAACTTTAAGGCAGCATACGAAAATGAAAAACAAGTCTTAGACGCAGTTACTCTCCTGCACAACCCGTGATTGTTCACATATACACCAAATTCATAGCTAAACAATCACTACCCAATATGACTACCTATCAACAAATAAAGTTATCATTATAAAAGTTTTAATTTTATAATTTATAAAAAACACCGAAAAAGTTTTTTCTTACAAATTAAAAAAAAAAAATTGGGATATCCGGAAAGCAGAATTCCAAATTTTAAACTGAAACAGAAGTGTTTCTTAAATCTCAAAAGAAACACTAATCGCTAAAACAAAGGAGATAAGAAACAAATCAAGGCAAAAACAGAAGAATTCCTTGATCTTATCTTCCAATTTATCAGTAAAACAAACATCGTCTAGAAAAAGGACGGGTAAGTGAAAAATGAAATGGTTTAATTTTGATTTAAAACATCAAGATTTGATTTGCCTCGAACAAGTCAACAGTTAATAATACCATCACCTCTTCATGACAAATAAAAATACCGAAGTACTAATACCAACAACCAATAGGATAATACTTATAACCAAGAAACGCTAACTGGTCAATGATAAAACAGAAAACGATAAAAACCAAACCTGATAAGAGCAAAAGAAGCAATATAATTTGACATAATTCGAAACAGTGGTTATGCTAGCAATTTATCTATGAATCTGAGAAATAAAAGTTAGCATTCCACTTCAAATTGAACAAGGTGTCAGAAATAGATCTGATACACAGCACGTAAAGTGTCAAAATAGCTCAAATAGGTACCATAAAACCAGCTGCATAAACACAAAATAGTCCTGATGTAGAGTTATAAAGCTGTGCTTACTTCATTTACGGATTTTGGAAAATGGAGAGAGGAACATTATATAATCACCAAAAGAAAGCACAAATTATTGATAAATAATCAAGCCAGTAAAATATCGGCATATAACTATCCGTTTACTAACTATCCGTTTGAAGAGCTTGTCTTGAAAAAGATCAAATCTCTGATCATTATATATTGAAAAAGTACAATAGTACGGGAGCGAAAGGGGAAGCGGATATGCAGATGAACACAGTTAGTGCTGCTGATGTCCATATAAAATGCTAATAATTATACTAAAGTATCCTTATAAAAAATAACAGAATTTCTTTTTTTCATTAATTTTCAGCAAAAAATAATTATAATCAACAAGGCTATCTAGAATAAGAGTTCAAAAACTCTTATCTTATAATTTTAGTTGTACAATTGATTAGACGAGTTAACAAACGAGTAAATTTTAACTTTTAGTTCAACATTTTTTTATAAATTTTAAATCCAAAGCAGTTCTGCTGTTTTCAGTAGGAATGAGACTGGGAAAATAATACAGTTAACAAACTTAAAATCCCAATGATTGCAAGACTACTGAAAAAAAGACTCACAATAAATGTTAAGAAATAACGTTGAAAAGAGTGCAGTCTAATGCTCAGCGAAAATGATTTCTTTATTTGATAATAAAAAATATGAAGGAAATTAACCTAATTTACCTTCTTTACTTATTCGTTTTCGTTATCATACGGCAGAAAACTGTCACCGCACAAATTAGGAAATTAGGAAAGGGCAGATGTAAACAAGATAATACGGTTCTATAAACAGAAAACCCACGAATAACAAAACAAAACAAAACAATTTCTTTTAAAACAATTTACCTGCACCACTGAAGTGAATTGCGCATTTTCGTCCTCAACAGAATTATCGTTTTCGGATCGAGTTTCTTCCGAAAATTCTGCATTTCCATCTTCTTGAGTACTTGTCGTTTCATTACTTTTCACTCTTTTGACTATTTGGTGAGAAGTCTGGAATATCACATGGTAACAATTTATTCTTATTGCCTGCTAGTAAGTAGCTTCAGAACTCATCATCAAAAAAGACTAATGCATTATAGGACAAACTTCAAATGAATTAAAAGACTAAAAAAATATACCGATTGAGTAGGTGGAGCAACATCAACCTCAAAAAGATTCAGGATAAGCGCACGTGTAACACTACCGACTACTCGGCTCCACTGTTCAATCATTTGCATCCAACAACCAGACTGGAACACAGCCAGCACATCATCCCACACTCTTTCTTCGATTTCAATACCTAAACAATAAATTTTGAACCATGTGTTGTGAGCTCCATCTGTGCAAAAAAAAAAGTGTTAACAACTAAATAAAACTACTGAAGATTATGTTATAATTTAATTTCGAATATTCCAGACAATACTCCAGATGAATAACAGACTAACCACTTATTGCTCGAACAAAAACAATAACACCAAGTAGGTTTTGCGCTAGAGCACCAGAAGTTGCACGTCCATAAGCGTCAGATCTGAAAATAAGAATTTGCAACTACAATAAATAATCAAACCAAAACAATTTCTTCCAAGCATAGTAACTTGAATGCCACGAAGGAACAATAATTCAAAACCTGGAAGTAACGTTGCGTACACCGGCTGCAAGACTCCTGATAAGTTCACACCATACTCTAGTTGACAGTGAATTTTGCAAAGAAGTTGAAGGGTTGGAGAGATCACGAGTGGTTTGCAGTAAACTCTGCGTCAAAGAAATGGCAGACGACAAGCGTTCACCAGCTACCGGTAAGTATGGACTGTGAAAAAATGAAGTAAGAAAATGAATGAGCAAAAGTGATAATGATTCAATTGCAATTCCTTCTTGACCAATAAAAGGAGGTAGATTTCGCTGTAACAACCATGTATTGATCAAAGAAAAAACCTGAAAAGAGAAATCTATCAAGTCCTTTAAGCATTCACCTAACAGAAAAGACTAGATATATGGCGGTAGAAAAGACTGAGAAAAAAGTGAGAATATATCAGTACCCTCAAATTTGCAAGATGTATTGGACTATCCATTACTCAGAATCTAAACTCAATCAGTGAAATATATTTCTTTACTTCCTGGTTTCTAAACTGAGAAAATCTTGCATTTAACAATCAGTTCAAAGATTTTAGGCTGAAAAAAACAAAAAAAAAAAAAAAAAAAGAAAAAAAAAATTAAGTTGCACATTATAGTCAAATGACATTCACTTTTCGTGGACAACCGAAGGTGCTTGTACTTAACACTAAATTGTCGAAATTACATAGTGATAAAGTTCACGAAGCTGGAAAACAAACTTTATGAATAACATTCGAGCACGGTAATGGTAACATTACAGCTTCTTTTAAAAGTGTTAAAAGTGTATTCGTTGCTTTACGACTGGAAAACAAAGCTTTGCGATATAGCAGCTGACCCGTCACAGCTAAATCATTATTAGTTGTAAGCGCAACCGTCGCCATCCACCTGCAGGGAAGATATACAGTACTAAATTTTCCATAACAAAAAAAGATTTAAAATGAAGAAAGGGAACTAAGAAGGAACAAAGAGTTGATGAATAAATGAATACCAAGGAAATATTCAAAATATTCCAACAAACCTAATAAGCCAATATCGTGCAATTACTATAGGGTCGGCGGTATCGCGAATATCCATCTGTCCTTCGCCACCCTCCCATCCACCATAAATATCTACACCATTAGTTTCTATATCAGGAAATATTTCATAAATATAAAGGACAATCACACGATCCAAAATAAATTTTGCACACTCCAGACGAATATTTTCATCATTCCATTCAATTCGAACCGTTTCTCTTGTGCAATATTCAAGAAACTTATCCAGATACACCTAAAAAGTTCTTTAAATTCTATGATAATACAGGCATTTCACGACAGCCTTATTTTTTTATCGCGACTACTAAATTTACCTGAAGTAATTGTGCTCTTTCCTTCGGACTTGGTGCGGTATTGTTCGTATTACTAACAAGCGGTGAATGGCGGATGGGTCCTGGTCCCGCGATATTAGCGGTCGACTGACAATAAGTGTGTAAAATGCTTTCAGTAGGCAAACTATTCCTGAAAATGAGTGAGTTAAAATTATTTAACAAACAAAATAAAGTTGAGCTATCTATTTCACCAGATGAGAGTACTACTGTCCTTAAAAAGTAAAGGATTACATAATAAAAAGATGGAAAATGAAAGAGATTTTACAAACCTTAATGGGAAATGCGGAAGAAGGCATTGAAAAACGGTATCTAACTGCGAATTACTATTGCTGTAAATTGCCAAACTCTGATACCAAATAATAAATAGACGCAGCGCAATTTTCCTTACGACTAGCAAATTATGTGGAAACAGAGCCTTTTTCAAGACATATTCGATGGCATGCTTTTGCCAGCCTGGAAAAACAAAGACTTAAAACTTAGATTTGGTAAGTTTTTAGATCTAAAAGCAAAAAAAAGAACAACAGAATTTTAAGTAAGCAGACATATACCACTGCCAACTAATCCTGGTGCAAGACACAGTAGCTGTTCGAGCGTCCACAAAGCTGATTCAACTTCAAGAACCGACTGAGCAGTTTGTGTAAGATCGGCTTGTAGTAACAATTCATCTACCAGATGGAAAGTTTCAAAACTATAATCTTCCATGAACTGTCTCTTGTCCTGGAAAGGAATAGATATGATGTGGAGGATGAAACTTAAAATACTTAACATCATCAGTGAACGTCAGAGTTATTTAGAATCATTAGAAAAAAACACAGCAATAAGAATGGAAATATGGATAAATTCAAGAACTAAGAGAGCTGCAATCATCAACTGTAGTTATCCCGAAATTAATTAACAAGCAATAATTTACTAGTGATCTACCTGCTCATCACATGTACTAGTATAGACATTAGTACCATACGTCATAGTTCCTGTCATATGTTCTAAAATTCAAAATTAAGCAATGCAGAACAAACCTTGATGCAAAGGGCATCGAGAGCAAGTTTGAGATGTTTGGTCCGTGACGCACAATCACGGTGAAGATCGGCAAAGCGCTGCAACGATGCTGTAAAATCTGCTGACTTTACTTTACGAGCGAACATTTCTTGCTCTATAATGCAGCAAACTTATTCATTCTAAGACTGAAATGCATAAGAAAGCTAAACGTTAGAATCGGACAAATTTAACTGATACGCACTGTAATTGCTTCAGAAGTACTAATTAATTAGCAGTAAGAACGTAATATTGGAAGAAAACTGTAAAAATAAGAAAAAAGTTTGAGAAAAAGACATCCAATAGATGAAGCAACATGACACCATGGAAATTTAACACTCTAAAATGTAGTGATACTTAACGTACCATCCTTCCTGTGCAATACAAATTACTACCGTAAATAAGCTGCATGCTATTCCTTCTATCCATCCATTCGTTTATAATTAAACACTTGATAGCTTTGTGGATCATCTTGCAGCATAAGAAGCAATCACAACATGTAACCCTGGATAAGAGCAGGGAGCGTGACAAGAAGTGGTGAACTAACATGGACAACTAAAGAAGACACATCGAATGAAACACACACACATACAAAGGACCCCTTCTTACTCATCACATCCACTCACTCCATCTCTCCCTCAAACTTATTTTATTTCATTTCATTCAGATCCGTCCCCTCATAACCCACTTCCAGTAGTAATCTGAACACATTTAAACTTGTCCAATGATCTTTCTCTTCCACCACTCGTTCCAATCACTTTCACGCTGCCCATGTACGGCTGTCCATCGTCCTTCCTCCTTTGCATGTGGTGCCTGCTACCAATGCTATTAGTTACTCTCCTCCTACAAATAGAAACCTACTAAGACGGCACATTCTGAATGAATCAATTCGGTAACTTCCCGATACATTCAGCGTCCATATATTAGGCATTGATTTAATGCCTTGTGATTCTCCTCTCTTCATATCACTAATGATGGAATAGCTTGTTATTCATTTCTGGTTCAGACTGGTATTATTTCAGCGGTAGATTCTAATTGTTCCACGTTGATAAAAGCTATTTCTTTGACATCTCATTAATTAAACACAACAGATGGGATAATGCCATGTTTGTCAAATAAATAACGATTATAGCAATTGCAACATGAATGAGAAATTGATGCTTTATTATAATCAAAGTTAATTACATTAGATGGCATTTCAACTTCAGTGAGTTCAAACTCAAAACTAGTTCTGAGTGTTACTGTAAACATTCAATATGGAACAGAATTTTGAAATTACAACTGCGACTGATTCCCAACTTCTGTACAGATCAGTAACCGAAGTATCATCTACCTATCAAAACTACCTACTAGATGCAAATCAGTAATTTAATGAGAAATATTCAAACATTAGCAAATAATTCGTTCCGAACGGCAAACGATGATACTTGAAACTGCTATCATAAAACGACTACTTATTTATTAGACTTGTCCTAAGCGTATCGAAATTATATGTAAACCATAATGCTTTCCTTTCCACCACATCAGGACATCGATTCCCACCAAAACCAATGAACAGATCCGCCTGTGCGGATGCTTCTAAATCAGTCACACTATCACCAATCATTACTAAATTCCGGTATCCTTTCTCATCCTTCAGCTTTCTACAGACTGCCGCTTTACCGAAATCTTTGAAACCTGAATCACCAGTTGCCCTTGTCTCATCAAAACCAATGCAAAATCCATTTTCATCGAAGAACATCTCATTTGTATAAATATTTGTCTCAGGAATTTTAAGAATTTTTGCTACTGGAAGAATTACAGGAAAAAAGCTACCACTGATCAAATAAACCGGAATAAAACGGCGATGCAATTCAGCAACCAAAGCTTCACCACCTGATGTCAGTTTTGGTTCTTTTTCTTGAATAAAACCTTCCAGTTGTTCCCGAGTGGTTTAAGAATACTTAAACGAATTTTCAGGGATTCACGAAATGAAATTTCACCATTCATTGTTTCCTCACTAAATTTGGCGACTTCGTAGCAGTGAAGATATTTCGCAAATTCATCGATCATTTCGCAAGTGCATAAGGTGGAATCGACATCGAAACAAACAGCATCTGCCAGAGTTTTTTGGCTCGAGCTTCCTTGTTCTCAGTTAGACTATCCGCAGTTTCATCCTCCAACATACTTTAGAAATCAGTGCTGGTGCAAAAGCTTTTCAACAGTAATTCAACAATAAATTCGCATTTGTATAACAATCCTTTCTAATCAAGATTTCCATATCCTGCAATATAATGTGACTGATCAACATCTACCATGTGGCTTCCTTAGGAGGAATACTCCGTCATATCCTTCATGCATAATTACCAGTAGATTCACTATTTCAGAGGGGAATATTTCCGGTCGATTTTCTGTTCCAACTACACGCTACTACTGCAATTAAAACAAGAAATGACTTCACTCTATTCCAACCACTTTTAGTCCTAAATAATATTATCAATAAGTGACTGAAAGAATAAAAAAGTAAATGATTATGTGACATAATGGCAACTTGCTGCTCGACTTCCAAAATTCAAGCATTTAACTTTAGTTAAATTCTATATAATGAAACAACTCGTTTGGTAAAGTCTAGTATTCCTTAATATAGTGAGAAGAGAAGAACTATGTCCATTCAAGGTACCAACTCAAAACAATTCATTATCAAAAACTGAGCAGATGACAAATTACCATCACATTTTATAATACAGTGCTGTCGAGCAACAACTGATTAAGAAACGCTGTAGATACATCGGACTTTTAAACGACTGGCTAAACGAAATTAACAGCAATAGCTAGTGCTGAGTATTAGTGCCCACTGTTCTATAGGACCAGCTAAATTTGTTGGCTCAACATAAAACATAGATTTATACACATCAATTTATTGTTTCCAAAACGTGCCACAGTTAATTATTACTCGTCAGCAATGTATTATGAAATATAATATTTAATTTATCATCTGCTTGTTTGGAAATATAGATTTTAAAATAATCATGACATACATCTCCAAGTAATGACTATTTACGTTAACTCATAAAAAAGCGTCAAAAATCTGATTTCAAATAACTGAAAGCATAATCAGTGGATGAAAAAAGCTGTTTTAATACGTAAATGAAGATCTGAAAACACTGCAATATCTATGTATACAGTACAAGCAAATAAAAATACAAAAACAATAACTCCTTTTTTGCGCACCACTAATGACGTCCAAAAATGTCTGGTAAATCAGTACTCTTTGAAATTTGAAAACGGAACAATTTCCCTTAAATTTGTAGTGATAGAGGTCCTCAAATTGAGAACACGATACGACATATTTCAATATGTGTGAATGTAACGTTATCTATAAACCATTCCAAACAGTGATAATAATATAAGAACAGTGAATTTATAACTTCGAAATCTATGTGCTTGAAAAATATATTCAATTATAAATGATATATATGATATCAAGCAATACAACTTCAGAAGTTATTCGGAATTTTAGAACCTATTATTGACAACAAATTCTAGTTTTGTGCAGAAATTAAGCTTGAAACTGACAAAACATGAATGAGTGAGCTGATCATGTTAGAGTAAGTGCATTTATAAAAAAAGAAACATTAACTAAAAAAAATTTATCTAATTGAATTATGAGTGAACTGCTTTTCATTTCGTGTAAAATTGGAATGAATATATTACTGATATTCCTTTTTTCTTTTTAAAAAACAAGTCAACCTTCTCGGAATGCAAAACATGATATCATTTTGCTGTGACCTTGATATTGGCGCACTATCTGAAATATGATCCAACTATTCGTAATTTTTATTTAGGTTTACACTAAACAAAACTGCATAAACGCAAACTGCGTACCTCTTCAGTCTCAAGATTCCATAACCTCAACTGACAACCAGATGCGGTAAACAGATATTTCGAATCGGATGTAAACGCACAATCCCAAACCCATCGTGATTCCATCTGAAACAAATCAAATAAAAGAAATTGAAAATTTATCTCTATTTTCAGAATTAAAGCTCTATCTGAACATTAGCTCTAACTTTACAACATTTGTAATTCATTTCCTTTTAATCTATATAGATTGGCACTCTTTTAATTTAACTAAATAAAAAACAAACAATCTTGCACAGGAGACCCAAATTTTCATGATTTTAACTGCATGTTACATTTAAAACTTATTAGCTCATCTTCAATTGCATATATGTTAGTAGTGAATCTCTCTGCTTTTTAGTGCTTAATAAAAAAAAAAAAAAAAAATTAAAGCACCTTTTCTAAGTGAACCGACTTTGTTAAATCAGACGCAACGAAAAGGGACTTTACGAGTTTCGTAACATTTGTAGCATCCCATAGATGCACATAACCATCAGCACCGGTTGTTGCAAAATACTTATAATCAGGCGAATAGTGACATTTTAAAGCATATTTCGAATGAGCAATAGTTTTTGATTTCTGCTGTCTACAATGTGAAATCGACGAAGATTAATCCAGAGAATTTTCGCAAAACGAATCTTAGAAGTTTCACAACTCATCAATACAAAAGTATTGTGAAGATTTGAACTTAATCGATCTAAATGAAAGAGCTGTCTAACATCGGTTTGACAATTGCTATAATATAAAATATTGTAGCCTTGATATATATCCCTCTTGTAATATACGTTTGTCATGAAGGAACCACGGCCGTATAATTCCACAAACAGCTTTCTGTTGTCAACAATTCAAATCATCTAATCAAAACTTTTCATCAAAATCTTTGCTACCCTTCATTAAAAACGTACAGTGTAAGACCAGTGCTGGACGCAGCGCCCAATTCGAATGATGCTGATACTGACCAGACTATGACTTTTCCCTTATTTGTTACCCCTACAAGTGTATCACCAATTCTATTGATATCAACATAAGTGACATGCTCAAATATGTCGAGATCTAAGTTTGCAAATATATCGCTGACATCACTTCGTATATCCCAGAAATACAATGCTCCGGAGATATCTGATATAATTAGAATCATACAATCTGGATGGGTAATAACACAATTCACTGCAGATTTGACCTGAAAATATAGTAGAAAGAAAAACAAAGTTCTGTGTATAACGTTTCTTCA